AATAAATAAATATAAATGATAGAGATAAATAAGCTTAAATGACATGACATCAAAATAATTAATACTTTTGACATTTAAAAAATTTAAAATTTTCCTAAAATTTTTTTACAAAATGTTGATAAAAAATCACTATAATTAATAAAAATTTGCATTGTACGTAAATTAAACTAAATAACTACAATTAGGAGAACTTAACATTAACATCATTAAGTTACAATCGAAATAATGATAAAACTGGTATAAGTTGAGTATCATAACTAAGAAAAATTAAAATGCGCATAAATGTAAACCAAGGAAAAATTGAAACCAACATTAAAACCTTTGAGAACTTATATTTAAGAATCATTACGCAATGTTTATAAGAAATTAATAATAATTAATAACTGAACATTAATAACATAACATAAATATAATTAAATAACTGCAAACTAAAATTATTAACTAACATTAAGTTATAATTCATGGAAATGTATGATTTTTAAAACACCATTTATATTAAGTGGTAAATATAGAATTATTTTATTTCATTTTTGATAAATTGTCTGAAATTAAATAATTTAAATTTAAATCAAGAATAAATTTTTGAAATTTTAAGATAATAACTTTCAAAAAAAGCATGTGCTTTCCTCTACTAATCAGCATTATAATCAGCTTGTTATAAATAATTTGCAAATAAGAGGCTATAAAGGATAATCAACTAGCACCCCTCTCCAAGCTTCATCTTAGTTCTTCACCCCTCTGATTTTCCTTCTCCGATTTTGACAGTTGAAGATTGATTAAGGATTAAGCCCACTGAAGACGTGTGACGAAGGAACATGAACGTGAGTAATGAGATATATTTTGGCTTTTAAACTGATATTCTAAATGTTGGTCTTCTGCCACATTTATGAGTTTATCTTTAAACATAGATATTTCTGTAAAAGGTACAGTATGGAATCAAGTACAATAGAAATATTAAAATAAAATATGGAAGTTATGGTCTTTTAAAATACTCAATATGGTAATTTTTTTTTAATTGGAAAATTTTCTGTGCATTCTTTGTCTTAAAATGTCATGCCAAATTCGTTTTGAAATATACATCCATCGCTGTATTTGTCAATTTTGACTATAAACTCCTGAAGGGCTAATAATCCAAATAAATTATGTAACAATTTATTTAGATTAGTGTGCACGTAATTTATGTTATAGATATATCAAGTTTTATAATTTAGATATATGTTTCTTTAATCATGTACTATATTTTCATTATTATGTACTATTATTTGTATTATTATGTACTATGTAGTATTTATTATTATGCACTTTGTATTTAATTCTTTATATTAGATTTTGTTTGGGAAAAAAATCAGTTTTCTGAAATGTTCTACTTCATATAATTTTATTTAAAAAGTTACGTAAAATATTTTGTGTAACGTGTAAAAGTTAAATTTATCAACAATAATTTCAAGTAACAATTTTATTTGATAATTGCAAAGAAAATTGATTGGAAAGGATAAAATTTAAAAGGTAAAAAGGACACTATATGGGTATAAAGATGGTTTTTTTCAAACAGGCCTAATCTGAAAAAACCTGCTGGGTTTTTCTTTTAAGCTGAGCCCACCTTGGTGAACCCAGTCAAAAATAGTTGCCCATTCTCAAGACTCACCAAGCGGGAATGAGAAAAGCAAAAATGATTTGAAACAGTATACAAAATTGAAAACAAAAAATTTAAAACTGAAGGTGAAAAACAAACAAGACTAGAAAAACTGCTGTAGTCAAAGTTTTTTTTTCACCTTTCTTTTCCATTTATTTATTCTTAGTCAACCTTACGTTTTCTGTTCCAAATCAAGTTTACTTCATTCATATCAGGGGAGTCTTCAGAACGTGTGGCTATTTTTCAATTCTTGATACATCTTGACATTCATTATCATCTTTATATATTTTGAAGCAAATGTAGATTTCATGCCATCAAGTATTTTAAATATTCTGCTTTGTAAAGTATTATTACATTATTTTTGCGTAAATGTATTATTATATAACATTACTTTAAATATTTCAAAATAATTGTTAGAACAATTAAACCTCTTGAGGATCTTTAGGAGATGATTGCCCGCAACTATGAATTGGGATTTTGTGTCTATTTGCACAAAATGTTCTTATGTTCCAAAATGCGCAAATGTTCCAAAGACTGATTCAGTCCTGGGGACTGAAATCAGTCCTTGGAAGTAAATCTTAATAAATATCTCTACCTAATTTGTTATTTAAATTATTTTTTCAAAAAGTCCAATTTCTATCTTCTTTTTTTCTTTAAGAAATGTTTTGTGTTAAAAATAGTCAATTGAAATTCCTTTTTACTGAAAGTATTGTTATTTTTTCTTATGCCTAGCAAAATGATCAAGTACTGATGTCACACTACATTAAAAGAATGAGATTGACTGAACTACATCGTTGCTTATGCAGGCAAAATGTTTATCTCTGAATCTACTTGAAATAGTAGTTTTTTTTCTCTATGATATTTTTAAATTCTGGTAAAAGTTACATCACAGTACCCAAAAAAATGACCAAAATATCGATATTTTTTTATTGCTTATAATAAAACTTCAAACTAGTATTTAAATGCACTGGAAAAAAAATCATCAATCTATCTGCATTTTTGAAAAATTTATAAATGATTTTAGATTACCCTAAAACAGAAACTTGATCTGCAGACAGACTTTTAAGTACTTTTTCTCATAGATGATAATTTTGTGTTTTAATCTTAATTAAATCCCTAAGGAATTTTTTCTATTTAAGATAAAGCTTTGAAGTAAACTTTTTTTATCTTAANGCGTTGTCATTCGGGGAGTTGTAATGAGGCTTTTTTTTATCGCCGTGTAAGAGAAATATATATATAGATTACTGCATAAATGTATTATTATATAACATTGCATTAAATATTTTAAAATAACTTTTAGAACAATTAAACCTTTTGAGAATCTTTAGGAGATGATTGCCTGCAAGTATGAATTGGGATTTTGTGTTTTTTTGCACAAAATGTTCTTATGTTCCAAAATGTGCAAATGTTCCAAAGACTGATTCAGTCCTGGGGACTGAAATCAGTCTTTGGAACATTTGCACATTTTGGAAGTAAATCTTAATAAATATATCAGCAAACATTGGAACATTGGAAGTAAATCTTAATAAATATATCTTCCTAATTTGTTTTTTAAATTATTTTTTCAAAAAATCCAATTTCTATCTTCTTTTTTTCCTTAAGAAATGTTTTGTGTTAAAAATAGTCAATTGAAATTCCTTTTTACTGAAAATATTCTTATTTTTTCTTATACCTAGCGAAATGATCAAGTACTGATATCACACTGCATTAAAAGAATGCTATTGACTGAACTGCATCTTTGCTTATACAAGCAAAATGTTTATCTTTGAATCTACTTGAGATAGTAGTTTTTTTTCTCTATGATATTTTTAAATTCTGGTAAAAGTTACATCACAGTACCCAAAAAAATTTCGAAAATATCGATATTTTTTTTTATTGCTTATAATAAAACTTAGAACTGTTTAAATGCACTGGAGAAAAAAAAACATCTCTGCTTTTTTAAAAAAGTTATAAATGATTTTAGATTGCCCTAAAATAGAAACTTGATCTGCAGACAGAATTTTAAGTACTTTTTCTCATAGATGATAATTTTGTGTTTTTATCTTAATTAAATCCCTAAGGTATTTTTTTCTATTTCAGATAAAGCTTTGAAGAAAACTTTTTTTTTATCTTAAGTATATTACACTTATTTAAACTGTACATGGAATAAGCATTTTATGAGGTATTACAATTTTTACAGCTTGTTATATTTACCTAACAGGAATTTTTTAACCTTTTTTCCTCCACTTTTTTACAAAATAATCTATAAAAAATGTTCTAACTAATATTTCAGCAAATGAATGCACAAAATTGTTAAGATGAATATTGTAAGCACTAAGAAAAAAAATATTTTTTTATATATTAAAATAAAAAAGCCTTAAAGTTATAAAAATTTTGAATTTACAAAATAATCTATAAAAAATGTTCTAATTAATATATCAGCAAATGAATGCACAAAATTGTTAAGATGAATATTGTAAGCACTAAGAAAAAGAAAATTTATGTTAAAATAAAAAAGCCTTAAAGTTTTAGAAAAAAAAATTTTTTTGTAAAATTAAACAAATTCTTTGAAGATAAATTATTGATTATAAGTTAAATGAGCATGTAAAGCATCGATAAAATGAATGATTATACCTTTATTTAAAGAAATGTTGCAAGGGTACTGTGACCTCTTGAGATTATTTATATAAAAAAAATGAAATTTATAGATCTACAACATGAAACATTGCTCATAGAATGAAAAAACCAAGAAAAAGTTAGTTATGTATTATTCTGCTATTACTATAAAAGAAACTACATGAGAATAGCTGTTAGTTTTGTTTGCTATAAAAANACTGGACCCACAAATGCGTCTTATGTTTCGAGATTAGGTTGCTGTAATAAATATTATCTTATAAAATATATCATACTTAAAAACTAATCAATAGCAATAACTGCCAAAAGTTAGATTGAATTATTACTTTAAAATTTAAATACTCAAATGCGCGATTTGAATTTTCCATATTGTTTGAAATATATCGGGATGTTTAAAATCTATGTGAATATCAATAACTGCTGATACAATCGAAACATTACATCAATTTACGATACTATCTGCGTAAATTGAGCGCGGCAAAAAGTGATTATTTAAATGAGTGGTTCAAATATTATGTGTAAATTTCTGTAGAAAAAAGGTTAACTTTTTTTACTTTTCAAAAGAAAAATCTTTCTGCAAGAACTCTTTAACGTTCTGCCACAATGTCACTGTGATTCCATGGGGAACAAATAATAGCTATAGTCAATCAACGATTTCTTAAGCAAATAGCTACTCTCTTTAACAGATAATAACATTAGCAATCAGTGGTCTCTCAATCAAATAATAACTAAACAATCAATGTAATAATTGTAGTTCAAATATTTAATAGGTGAATGTGTGGGTTTCTTCAACCTGACTGATTTTCTTGCTTCGAATCACACTTTGACGGAGGGTTCCTACGAAGAGAATCCAGCCATACGTACAATCGCCATTTCCATCAAATATTCCATCATTGGAATCGTGTTACATCCCAACCACAACAAGACTGACGTGGTCGTGAATCTAAAGGGAGAGTCTTTTGAGGTAGAATTTTTGTTTCTATATAAAAGTTGTTTACTTTTAGTTACAGAATTTCTATGTATAAGGTATGGCTATTAATATCCAAGACTTGTCTCTAATAGCACCTGAAAATATAATGTGGGTTACATACACATGTAATAGGATTTGAAGCCACCTGTAGTCCTGTAATGTACTTCTGCACTTGGATTTAAAAGTTTCTGAAAAAACTTTAGAAAACCTTATTTGAATGTTCCTCAATACTGATGTTTTTTCATGATATCTCTGAAATACCTAAACCCCTATCATTTTTGTAAATTTTTCAGTTTCTGAAACAAAAGAATGTTTGCAAAAGATTTTCCTGGAGAGTAAGGTTCATTTTCACAACTTCCACCAAACAATTTGCTAAAAAAAACAAGCCTTAAGATTTGTTGATAGTGCTTCAACAGCTTTGACTGAAACGTGAAAAGTTAAAACAATTTAGATAAAAACGACCTATTGTTGCGGCTTATTGTTGTTGTAATGGATTGATGAATTTCCTACAGTCAAAACAAGATATAGATTAACAAAAATTATGTTATTTGAAAACCATCAATAGACCTGTGCTCACATCTAGGCTTCAGAAATCTAGGCTATAAATCACATGAAAATCAACAAACTATCTTTGAGAGAATAAATTTGAGAAGGATTCTGGGTGCAGCGAATGTCAGTGTTACAGGGAGGCACATGTGAACTGTACAGGTTGTATGGAGAGACAGATATTTAAAAGCACATAAAAGTTTAGTTGGGCACATCTGCCTTAACGACCGGTCCTCCTTACTGTCCAGAATTTTTATCCAATTAGAGGCAGGCCCTGACTAAGGTGGGTTGGAGGCATTCATTGGGATTTCAAAATACTCGAAATGAAAAACTGGAACACCCTGGTGAGGAAAAGAGCAGAATGGAGAAGAAAAAAAAGATTCCAATGTAGGCCTCAGTGAACCAGTAAAGAAGAAGCAGTTTAAGGATGCCGAAAAATAGAAGAACATTCTAGAAAGAGACTTCAAAAATTGTTTCTGAATCCAAGTTCAATACTATATTAAAGATAGAGTATTTTGAAATGTATGAAGAGGATTAACAATTCACACAATAATTTCAGGAGTTATTGTTGAGGTTTTAAAACAGCATTTCTCAAACCAAGCTGTTCTCATAAAGAGTAAAATAACAAAAATGGCTATTGTTGCATATCAACAGAGCCTGATTAAGGCAGGGGCATACGGGGCAGTTGTCCCCACATCAGAGGGGGCCCCCCAAATTGAATAGAAAGTTTATTTTACATTTAGTGAACTTTTTTTAAACAAAATATCAGGCCAGTGTAAAATCCGTTTTATGTTAGCTTCTTCATTAATCTGTCATATGAACACAAAAAATCTATATTTTGTAAATCCATGGCTTTCTAGTGCAGAATTCAGCTAAATTTTCTTAATTACGCTGGACAAATATGGCCAAATAAAAGCTTGTATGGAAAGATGTGATTTTTTTGCAGCTAGATGACAAAGTTAACACTCTGTTATCCCATTCTTGACTGTTTTGTACTTCTTTAATTCAGTTAATTTAAAGAAAATAATGCATTTTGGCTCGTCATATGTGCTATATCCTCTTAATGATGGACATAGAAGTGTTAGAAAACCAATAAAATTAACAGAAAGATATTTCGTTCGACCATTGATTGGGGGGGANTACCTGCCAAGACCCAGCATTCAAATTGTGGCAACAGCTATTTTAGGATCTTGTCAATTTTTTGTTAACTATCTATAATGAGGTAAAAAATTTAAATACCTCCATAAAATTCGATTTCTTATTACTGAAGTAGAAGCAGAGGGAGATCCCCATAGAGGCTTTTGTCCCGGGCCACATTTGGGCTAGTCTGGTTCTGCATATTAAACTTATGACAACTATCTAGAGAAGGAAAAGAGAGGGGAGAATGTATAAAAGAAAGCTGCAGAAGAAGATGAAAGGACGATGGAAAAAAAATAAAAGCTGAGAAGAAATGTTGATTCATAATAAAAAGTTGAAAGTAAAAATGTAGGAGAATAATTAGCAGATAATCACTGAAAGCAGTGAAAGTTTAATATCTGATTTACAATATGGTAGAATAAAACTGAATCAAGAGTTTCACAAAATATTATTAAACAGCTAACGAGAAATTGAAAGTTAAAGGAAGATGAAGCTCATAACTTGCCTAATGTTATAAACAAAATGAGACATTATTGCAAATTTTGAAAGCTAAGAACTTAAAATGGGTCAATTTGTAAAAAATAAAAAAAAATTCTATAAATATGGTCTTTTAAACAAGATAAAAAAATTTATTGTTTTTATTTATTATATATTCCTCAAATTATTATAAATCCTATTATTATTTTGGTCTAAATTTACTGGCAGCACTGAACTCTTTGTATTTTTATGATATGTGCTCACTATCCATAAATTTAATTATAATAATGATTCTTATTTTATTGATAGAAAACCTTTCACTTGATTGTTGATACTCAGCCTTCTAAAAAGAATGTGTCAAGTATTGGGTCAACAACTGCACTTCAGACTGAAGAGAGTTTTACTTTTGAGGAATTTTCTGACAGGTATTTAATTAATTTCATTGATTAATAAGCAAATTTCATTCACTCTGAATACTCCGTACAATTTAAAAAGAGTAAATAAACTGAGCTTAAACTGAAAGACAATCAACACTATCAATAACGCTAACAAATTCTAATTTTTTATTTATTATTTTTGGCTTTCCTAATGATTTTTCGTTACTCTATTCAGGAAAAATATGTTTTTAACAGTTCATCCCATCAAAATATAGATTGAGTGTATTCAATTGACATGATGGTCAAAGAAATCAAGCTTAGTTCTCTACTTTCATCAAACAAAAAAAAGTTTATTATTGAAATAGGTGCAAGAAACTCTTAATTTTGATGAATGAAAGCTATAACTTAGAAAAAAGATGGCACTAATGTTATCTTTTAAACATTTGATAAAGCAGAACTCATCTATAGTTGGGTTTTAAATAAAAGGCTAGTTTTAAACCAATTAGAAAATTCCATTCTTCAAACATTTCTCCGAAACAATCTAATCTAAAACCTTGAATGATTTTTAAGGATGTGGCAGAAAGTAACATAATCACAGCCTTTCCTTTAGAGTCCAAATCGAGGACCCTATCGCAAACTGCTCTGGAGTTATAAAAAACATATGCACGGAGAAACTTTATTTTATTAGTAGAAATAATTATCTCTTATTAGTTTTACCTGCCAAGACCCAGCATTCAAATTGTGCCAACAGCATTTGATTATGGCATTGAAATGTGTATATTTTAAGAAATTAATAAAAGCAAAAGGAAAGATCGAGAAAGTTAATGATATGTTTTTTTTCTTCACAACTTGGCTCATATTGGCAAGTCTGTGTGCATGTGCACTCCTGAGCTAGCACACCACCGAAGGGTAAATATAAGTATATAAGCATCTTAAAAATTACTCAAAAATTATTGAAAATAGGATGATATATTTTAGATGTTAAATTGAATCTGCATATTGTTTAAACAGCTGAAATTCCAATAAATGTATCCTAGATGTGTACTAAAATTTCAGCTAAAATTTGCGCTGCATTGTGTGTTAGTGAAATCATCAGAATGAGGCCTATTCACACTTGGCGTTGGTTAAAAAAAACACCCACTCTAAAATTATATTACAGAATTGTAAAGTTGCGAAACTTAGTCAATCAATCAAAGGTAGAATTTTGGACAGGTAAAAAAGTTAAACTAATCATTGAAAGTTAAACGAATCATTGGTTAAGAATCATTTGAACTTTTTACAAATTATTTGCTTGCAACAAATTAATGTAAAGAGTTACACAACAACATTACAAAAGTGTTCAAAAAGATTTCTGCGATTATAATTCAAAAAGTTTCTTTTTTTAAGTTTTGTTTTTGCAACATTTTTACTTTATACCTGACCCTAGTAATTAATTCTTATACAGTAAAACCTCGTTACAACAATATTTTTGTTACCAAACAAATATATTGATTTAGTGGGATATATTTTTATATCAAGGGCCTACATACTTTGGGGACACAATAAGATTTTTTTTAATTGTAATGTTATATATGAATTAACTATAAATGTATATATTAATTTGGCAGATAGGTTAATTATGGTTAAATGTTAAAGGCAATTTAAATAAACTAAGATCGCAAGTACACTTGAAAACCGTTTTTATTGAAAATAGTCCGATATTTTTGTTTGTTTATTCATTCTTCTGACTGTTAAGTCAACCAACAAAGTACGCATTGAGTTCAAAGTATAAAAATGATTTTCATTTGTGAATGGTTCTCCACCCCCCCCCCATCCTCTACATAAAAAAATTCTCTTTAAGGTGTTAATGTGATGTTTGTGGTCATTTGTGACTCATGATCAGCTTTTAACATAAAGGAAATGAAATCAGGTAGGAATGTTACATCTGTGACTGTGGGAGGCAATTCTAAGAATGGAAGATCTTGGGGGGAGGGGTCAACAGTGAGTCTTTTCTTGTCAGAAAAAAATGGAAAAATAGCAAAAGATGATAAAATAAGATTTTTTACATTATTTGAAAACCATTAATAAATGGAGAAAATAAGGTAAAAATTTGAAAAAAAAAATCATTTTGCAGGAGTTTATTGCTTCAAAGAAAATCGTAATATTGAGAGGAGAATAACATTAATTCATATGCAAATTCATCAGGACCACAAAACATTATCGTAAGGAGAGAAATTAAAGGAGTTATTGCTGTATAGGATATCGCAGTAGCGATAGTTCACAGTAGTATATTCCTGAAGACCATCACCTAAACTATACCCAGTATGTTTGCAAAAGTTTTAAGATTTAAAATATTTCGATGTTGATAGATAAGATGTTGGCATCCAAACATTTTATTTCATTGAGTTGTGTCTTTTTTTATATATAAAATGCTTAGGGGTAAATGTTAATGTAGGAGTATTTGTACTGATTTAATGATTAAATGTTTTATAAATGATTTATTTCACATCATCTGGAAACCTCTGTGTGAACGTAACTAGGATTTCCATAAATGCCCGTAAAGTTATTTTCTTGTTGCTGAAAGTATCTATTTAATAAATTCAAATATTCGAAACAAGTACATTTATTTTAAAAAGTAAAATTAATTTATCAATTTCCTTCTAAACCGGAAAAAAAAACTTTCAAAGATAAGCAGATTTTTATAGAATTACATGAAACTTTACAAAATTGTTGCTTGATCTTCAGGTAATTGTTTTGTTCATTGCTGAGGTGTAACTAATTATCTTTGTTAATACTTAAATATTAAATTCTATTTTTAAGTTTTCAAAAGTGACCTTTAGTATTACATAGCCTTAGTTAAACTACATAGTGGGATAAATTAACTCACATTTTTTTATGCCCAGTTGTGTAAATTACAGATATGTACTTTACCTGATTTCCACATTTTTTTTTTTATTTCATTCAATATTACTCAGTAGACCAGGTGTATGTCAAAAAATTGAAATTTAAAAATACTAAAGTGTTGTTTTTGTTAATTTTTTAAGTATGCAAACGTTAAATTAAAAGCAAAATAATTTAATTAAAGTAAATGAAATTAATTATTCTTTTGCCTCAAAATAAATACTGAATAGCATAATGATGCCATCTTAATTATATGTTTGTGAAACAGGGGACCAAAATTGCTTACTTCACATGCTGCAAATGTGTCCCACCTTGGATATGAAAATGTGAATTTGTCTGCATCTCACCTTCCCAGAGAGTTGATTACATCATGGCACAAACTGAAGGAACTTTTAGATGAAGGTATTATTTTTTTTATCTTGCCATCATTCACATTGTGTTGGATGAACATTCAGATTTCATTTCGCCTAATAATTCTAACGGGCGTGTATTCTGAACTTTTTTTAAACCATAATAAAAAGAGGTTGACTGTTGGTTGAATCCAAGTTTTGTATTCTCAACTCTTCAAACCGTAATCATGATGTGAACTTCAGTCGATTGATCACAGAAATTTCGAAATACCGATTTCCATTTCGATTATGCTCTTTTTAATTTATTGGCTAAGTTTGTTGTTGTAAGGGTGGAAAAATCACTTTATCACATATTTAACTTAAATCAATACACTGATCATAATCTACAGAGAGAAAAAACATATCGTTCGTAAGAATTAAAAGAAATTATTTTGTTTTCTATTTCATTTTTTATTAAGTTGTACATAGTATAATATTAATTTATGCTATTTTTCTTTATTATACATGTATTAATATAAGGCAAGGTTTGAACATATTTTTTATATAGCTATTATTAGTAATATTTGTATTAAATAGATTATTAAATAAATTTATCTTCGTGAAAATTAATTTTAAACTTATTTTGTGGAATTTCCGGAAAAGTAATAAACATTGTAATTTTTTTAAAAAAGTGCTTTTAAGGTAAATGTATTGTATATAACTTGTATTTTCAGCATTTATTTGTTTTTACTCTTTTTTCTTTAAATTTTATTTTTTTTCCATCATCAGTACATAATGTTGGATATTTTTTATAGTGAAGCTGTAGCCTACTTATTGAGAAAATAGAAATTATTTTGTCATTTTTTGAAGCTATTTATTATAGATAGTTCTGAATAATATGTTTCTTATTAAACATTACTTTAACCCATCAAAAATTTCGGTCTACGTAAAACATGGTGTGTGTATCAATCCCCACATGAATGAGATGTTCGTGTTTTTATTCTTCTATTTGTTATGCAAATTGCAATTTGTTGGATATATTATATTATAATTTTATAGAATGTATCTTGGATAAATAATCTTTGTTTTAGCTATTTATTTTTTTTTGTAATAGAAACAATGTTAGTAGACAAAACATTTTGAGCACTTATTAGCAAAATGAAAAAAGCTTAATTCTATGAGCAATTATTTTTCCGTTATTTGTAATAAGGAATATCTTAAGTAATTTAAAACCATAGCCTGGCACACAGTTTTAAAAAAAAACTGATCTAGATCTTATTAAATATTTAACTTTTTTAATGTATGCAATTTATCATATTCAGTTATATTTTAAATTCTTACTGGCAATTAAAAGAACAAAAACTGTGTATATATGTTTTTGAGTATAGTTGAAAATAAATTTTAAAAAAATTAACTCAAATTCTAAATTGACTGCAATAAAGAAATTTAATAGAGATAATGTGAATATAAAATGAGAAAAAAATAAACCAAATTGAATGCTTAAGTTGTGTATTACATTACTTAGTATCAAGCTCTAAAAAAAAATTGTATTCTTGAATAATTTTAACTAAAACAAAAAAAAAAAAGACATTAAACTTATAATCAATGGCAGCAAAAAATAACTCAAAGAATGCAAATAAATGAAACAAGAAAAAGTAAATGAAAACATAACTCTTTATCTGTTTATGATTTCAGAAATACTAAAAGCAAAACTAAAATATCAAAGTTACAAAAATATTAACTAGTAGTAAGTGCAAAGTAAATCGCTAAAGCACTTAGATGAAATAAAGATTTAAATCAAAAATGTAACTACGAGAAATATTACAGTAATGCAAACATCTTATTTGTGCAAAGATTCATTAATGGTCATTAGGTCATTATATGTGAAATGAGATGCTTGGCTGATTGTATAATACCAGAGGCCTGCCCAGGCCGAATTTACTACCGTTTAGCAGTACCCTCACAAATTCAGCTTTAGGAAAAACGGTAGTTTCACAAAATACTTTTTCTTAAAATTTTATTTTTTTATCCCTTAAAAAATGATAAATCCATATTTTTTTGTTGATTTTTTAATACAATTTTGAATGTTTCACAAATTATGTCTAAATTTTCACAAAATAGGTACCTCTCAGAAAAATCTAGACAGACCCCTGAATACCTAATAAGAGACACAAGACTGTCTATAATAAATAATTTTAATAATGACAAAATACTTGTCAACTAGGCTGCAACAAGAGAACAAAGTAGAGAGAATATCGTAAGGCAAGTCTTGCAGACAAACTGATCAGGTGGCCCTTCTGATTGGAACTCTAGTTAAGAAACAGCTGTTTGAAAAATTATTATGGTCTGCAAAATTGTTGTGTATCTGCAATGCTGCAAGCCGCAAAGTCAATCTCCATTGGAAGAATACAGGTTCTCGAAAGCTGATCGGAAATTGAGATCATGAAAAGATCAGAATGCCGATGTAACCCTATTTTAAACTGTCTGAAATCAGTTAAGATCAGAAAACACTACTGAAAAAAAAATTCTTTTTTTTTCTAGTTACATTGGGTAGAACAAGTTTTGATAAACATGAACTGCAATTAAATAAGCATGAATTAAATAATTAAAATAGGTTTTTTGCCGGCAAGCTATTTTACAGCCTGCCGGCTGCCCGAGCGGTCGGCGTGCCCGACTGTAAAGCCAGTGGCTGCGGGGCTCGAATTCCGCTCAGGGCATGGATGTTTCCCTCTCCGTGCGTTGCGTGAATGTGGCCCACCCTATAAACGAGTATCTGAGGCATGGGCAATACTGCTCGGCTCTGTGACTCAGATTCAGGGGTGCCCACTGGGCAACATGAAATGAGCTACACTTCCGGCATCTTTCGAGGTGAAGAACAAAAGTTCAGTGCCTGCGATAAAAGAAAAAGAAATTATTTTACATACTTGTAATGTAAAATGATAATATTCAAATTTAATGTCACTCTTATCAACGTTAAGTCTTCTTTTTTTCTTTTTAAGGCTATTTTGTTAGATACTAATTTATCTGCATATCCCTTTCATTGTTTTTTAGTGAAATACCATCAAAATATGTCAGACTTTTGACAAAAATCACTCCCTAAAGAATGCATTCTTTAATTATATTGTATATAAAATATATGCAGTTCAATTTCATTTGTTATTGATTAAATTTGATTTTTTTTTAAATTAATTTAGATATCATCACATACAAAGCTTTTTTGAGGAAAAAAAGCGAATTAATCAATGACTATGTTGTCAGTTTAAATTCATCTGCTCGAAACTCGCTGAAATTTGTGACTGAAATGGCTGTTACTAAAGGGCCTCTTGTTACTAAAAGACTGCAGAACACTACTGTAAGCTTGCCTGTCAAGGATTCGAAAGAAGTGCCTTCAGAGAAAGCAGAGCTATCAAAAATAATTCTTCCACGAATGCTGAAAGGAATGACGACTGCTCCTTCTCTCGTTGATTATTTCAAAAAACTTCAAAATGTTTCTCCCAGAGAAGTATGAATGAATGAAATGTTATATTAGTTATTTTTTATGATATTTGTGCATAAATATGCTTTCATAGTAGCATGCTTGTGAATAGTGTTGCCAGATTATAAAAACAATTATTAAAAATACTTTAAAAATAAATTATATACCTTAAAGTTATTGAGTTCAGGAAAAATTTAACAAATCGAAAGTAATTTAGTGTACATATTTATCCTACGTGATATCAAATTTGTGGGCATATTTATTTAAATAGCAACACTTGAGTTATATTTAAAGAAATGTATTGGATACATTGTTGCCTTTTAAAAATGTGTATGTACTCATCATATTTAAAAGGTTACTGAATTTTAATTAGGAACTTGCAAGCACAATGAAAATAAGTTTTACTTAATTATTTTTATTTTTTTATACAGGATACATTTATTCGAAACACATTTTTGTCAGGAAATATAAGTCAAATAGTTTTGATAAAAATACTGTGGCAGTGTCAAATTGTTTGATATTAGCAACATCGTAACGATTTTTGAGTTTCTAATGCAAATTAAAAATAAATTTTTGAAGCAATAAATATATTTCAGTTGCAAAGTATCAATATTTGTATAGACATGGGTACTTATTTATATATATATATGTGTGTGTGTGTTGTGTGTAAGCTGAAAATTTTAGAGGGTTGACCAGTGTGTAAGATTCATTCCTTAAAAATTTTGATTCCTTAAATGATTATTATTACCAAAATGCCATCTTATGCAATGAGTAGTTTATGAGGACAATGAAGCCAGTGGCCACAGGCTATCAATGTTGTGTAATCTTTAAGTTAGTACTCTTGTTACTGTTATGGTTTAGGTGAGTTCCCTTTAATTTATAAAATAGAAATATAAATCTTATTGTATAAACTGTGTTTAATCTATTTTCACTAAGCGTTATGGATGGTTAATTTACTTTTGTTGAATCTATGAAAATGTTAATCCCAACAGTTTATACTAGAAAGCAGTCATAACTGTGGAAATGTCACTTTCACCTTTTTGCATACTTGTATATACCTTGAGCAATTTTTAAGCGAATTGAAAACGTTTGCACACAATTGTGAAGTTTCTTTATTTAAAAATAGTTTGATGTAAAAATAATTTTGATAATTGTTAATACTTTTTGTTATTTTATTTTATTATAGTTAAAAAGGAACTATTATAAAGTAATATTATTAGAAACATTAACTGTTATTTATAATAATAATAATAGTTAAATTGAATTGTAAGGTATATATGTAAATTTTTACATCAAATTATGTAGTTTAAATAATATACAAATTTTGAGCTGATTATAGTTCAAAACTCTTGTCCGGCCAGTCTTGACATACGCTTCTGAAGCTTGAACAATGACAAAACTGGAGGAAAATTGTATCACAATATTTGAGAGAAAGATTTTGTGGGGTATACTTGGTGGTTTAAATGAAAACAATAACTGGAGAAGGAGATTTAACTTTGAACTGTACAAGATTTATGAACAACCTCATATTATTAAATACATAAAAATAAATAGAATGAATTGGATCACCCAGGTGATTCGAATGAGTGACGACAATACAATAAAAAAGATACTGCTTTTTAGACCCACTGGAAAAAGAAAGCGGGGAAGGCCGCAGTTGAGATGAGTTGGCTCAGTGGAGTCTAATTTTCTCGCAATTAATGAAAAGAATTGGAGATCAAAGATAAATCGGAAGTCGTCATGGAGAAATCTTCAGAGGAAGGCATTGGCTCACATTGGGCTGTCTGGCTAACTATGATGATGATGACAAATTTTAAGCAAAACCAGATAAGTTATTAAAGGGGTTTCATACTGTATGTCATTAAACAAGCAACAATTTCACGTTATTTATTCTTTTAAAGTTATTTAATGGAACTTTTATTCCATCATATGTTTAAAATTGGTTGAGAATGGAAGGAATTTTTAAGATAAAGTTAGAACGAGACAAAAAAATACATTTTCTTTGCTGTTTAAGGAGCAATATTATATGAAAAAGGTTTAAATGGAAAACATTTTGATTTATTTTTGGTATCTGTAAAAAAAGCAAAATACGAACATCTTTTCCTTCTTGCAGTTTTTATCCTTTATTTATAGAAAGTAATTCATGGGCAACCACGGGTTAAGTTATCTTCTTCCTAACAAAAGTATAGTTCTTCCACTAATTTTAGAAATCCTATCACACATTTCTAAAGAATGCACCTTTTGTTGACACTATATCTTGTTTTCCTTTTTTGACAACTTACCATTAAAATCAACATTTACAGTTATAAATGATGTCATTCATCATTCATAACACTTCATTTCATTTTCATCTTGTAAAAATTTTTTACAATTTAGAAATTTGAGTTCATTATTTTCTGTTGTCTGACATTTTGTTTTCCTTTCATACAGTACAGAGCTACATACTTCAATCTACAATCTTTATGCAAAAACAGTTTTCTCTAGATATGTATTATAATTTAAAATAGCTGTTGAACATAAAAGGAACTGAAGTAAATAAATTGATTACATATTTAAATTTTTATTATTGTTATTTTAACATTAAGTGTGGGAATTTTTTTTAACAACAAACTTGCTGCCAAGACAATTGTATTTGCTATTATGAGCAGGGGTCTGTCCAGGCCAAATTATCTACCATTTAGCGGTACTTTAACAAATTAATCTTTAGGAAAAACTTTTTCTTAAAATTTTATTTTTGTACCCTGTAAAAAAAACGATAAATTCATATTTTTACCATATTTTTTTGCTGTTTTTTTTAATATAGTTTTTAATTTTCACAAATTATAACTAAATTTTCACAAAATAGGTACCTCACAGAAAAACCTAGACAGGCCCCTGACAAGTTATTGTTATAACAGGTTATGATTGTACTTATTACCTGTGTTACATGCAAATTATCCATTCAGATGTATTCTAGATATGTATTTTAAATTAAAATAGTTGTTGAACATAAAAGAAAACAAAGTAAACAAATCTTATTACACATTTAAATGGATTTATTACTATTTTAACTTTGAATGTGAGATTTTAGTAACAAACTCGGTGTTAGGACAATTTTGTTTGCTGTAATGAATTCTTTTTATAACATGTGTTGCATTAATTCTGTAGAATGTGTCCCGTGTATTGAGACCTCCACCCACAGCCACACAGAGGCATTTGCTGGACACCTTTGGGGACTCACTGAGGCACGTGAACAAGTTGTACAATGAGGTGTTTGGTTATGAGGCAAGGAAAGTCCCTTCACACATTGCTCATTTCGTTGATAAAAATGTCATGTCCCGTTTAACCAATGAGTAAGCAATTTTTATGTCTCATATTTACGTGCTTTTGGTTATGTTTTGTTAATTGCACTTTATTTATGATTTTTTTTTCCTCTCCGGTAAGTGAATGAGGGGTTGGAATACCTTTATTGTCAGGCTAACCGCTAGAGATTTTGGTTTTCTTCTCCATGTAACACAAACGTGATTTTGTTCCATATTGAAGTTCTCTAAAGTTCTCCCATTGTTGGATCGAGGATGAAGATCAAGGCGATAGAGTTAAACATCGACAGTCGTACGCTCGAAATTGGGTCGACTGTTCGATGCTCGTTAAAAAATAAAAATATTTACCCTGACTGCATAATGACACTCCAAAATAATCTAATAATTTTTTAAATGTAAGTTCTCTCTACCCAGGAAAGAGTTTAATGATTACCATAATCACAAATTTAGTAAAGACAAAGTACATGGTATAAAACAAACACATATTTAAACCAGATTGCACTTAACATTGCTTGAAAAAGAGTTAACAAATTATGTGTCCTTGTTTCTTTTCCCTACAAATAAGAACATTAATCTTACTAACAACTTAATGAGTCTTTTTTTTTTTAGAAAGAAATATTTTTGCCTTAACATATAGTTCCAACATAAAATTAATAAATTTAGTTGTTACAATTAAAACTTAATTGAATATTATATAATTTAAAAATTATTAATGTAGTTTACCTATTTAGCTTTAATTTGACAAATAATCATTTTGTAACAGGCATCAAACTCATTATTCAGCACTTTTATTTTGGATGTTTTTGTATTATAATCATTTCTACCTGGAACGAAAATTCTGTGGATTCCTGAGCCATTCTAAGGAAATGCAAATATCCTCACAAAGGAGTCATCTCTGAGTCTAAAATAAAAAATTCAACGAGTAACTTCTGATGGGGACAAGACTGGTGAGCACCTATTTATATTGTCTGGGCTATTGGGGTGGAGGGGCATGAGTGTTGGCTGGAACTGTCCAAGAAACGCTCTCCACCCCTACCACTTGTATTGGATTGCGAAACTTATTATGCAATAAATAAAAAAGAATTGTGTTCTAGCCTCTTATTTTGTTCTCTCAAAAAGAGCATTCATCGGATAACGGTTCTGTAAACATGTAACAAATTAGTTTTATTAAATACAATGAAATGCTGCTCTATTTATCTTATAGTTGTGTCTCTTTCCTAACTTTAATGTCTTTTATGACAAAGTTTTACTTCAAGGTTTGATTCCGCTTTCGACGTCACCTCTTCACACAAGATCCGAAGCTCCAACGACATGCAGTTTGCCTTCTCTTATTATTATTACCTGATGAGTGAAATGGAGTCTGTCGAAGTGTCCGATATATTTCGTTCTTTTGACATTGACAAGAGTGGGTGAGTGAGGGATCTTTTCCTACATCTTCTTGACTTTCCTATGCTCCATTGTTTTTGCTGTGTTTTGAAGCCTCACAACGCGATCATTTTAGTTTGAGACTCTCTCAAATAGTATTTCTTGCATTTGTCACCTGATTTATTATTTGTGTTTTGTGTTTAAAAGAAAAATCATTATAAAAATTTATAATAATATACATGAGTATAATAATAATAATGAGTATAATAATAATAATAAAATCTTAATAATATACAGGCTTCAAAATTCAAACCTAAAGGATAATTTGTAAAATTAACTTTTTCTCTATACTCAAACAAAATGCCTACACAAACGTATGACGGTGCAGAGCTTGCACCAAGAACAAACAGTAATAAACAAGTAAAAAGAGGTCAAATCAGATTTGCCAAAAAAGCGAGTTTTTTCTAAATCTACCAACTAGGACTGGGCGATATTAGAAATTATATGATGCATCGTCAATTTTGCATCGCGATATAGTATTTCTGAATTTCAATTACTTGTAAGGCACAGAAAGTCAGATTTCTATCGAAACTCCATACTCAAATTGATTTAAATCAATTTATAAGTTTGAATATATATGTTTTGCTTAAGAAAGATATTAAATAAATTGACTACTATGCACAAAACTTACTTAAAATATTTATTGAAAAAATGTGTAGATACGGAATGAAATATTTGCACCTCTTTATCGTTTATGAGCTATTAACGTATCTAATTAAGTACCTAATTACCTAAATTATTAATTAAATAAATTATTAATTCATTATTAATTAATTTAGGTAATTATTAGGTAATTTTACTACGCTTTTAACTAGAAATAAAAGAAAGTTTAAAACGATAGGTTTATGAATTATTTGAAAATCAATTAGTTTAAGCGAATGAAATTTTGAAAAAAAAAAGTTTAAAGCCATAAAAAATAATTTTACTAAATGAGCCATATAAAAATAACTTTGATAATTACATAATTATTAAGTTCGATTGTAATGTTCAAATTCTAAATGAAAAAGTAAACGCAAGTTTTGTTATATTTTCTAAAAATGATCACGTAAATAACGAAAGATTTCTTAATTTAAAAATAAATAATAAAAAAATAAATAAAATAGAAATTTATCAATATATTTACCTAACAATATAGAAAGAAAATTTAAAAAATAAGTTCGTTAAAAATTAATTGTATGTTCAAAACAAAGTGCTAAATAAATTTTTAAAAAAATAATAATAATAATAAAACGCTTTTAAATCACTATTTTTTATTATTATTATTATTTCACATAAATAATTACATTAAATTGAATAATGACCGAATTATGAAAGAAAAACAAAGTAAGGTTTAATTTCTTAAAAATAAAAACAAAAGAATTGTGATATTCGATAATATATTTAGGTAATTAACTAATAATATTAAAAGAAAATTTTAAAAAAAACTGATTTTACTCTCTAATAAAACGAAAAAAATGAATAAAATTCGCAAACCTTTAAAAATTTTTTTGAATAAACGAAGTTGATTGACTTATGTCCAAATCCGAATGACAAAAAATAAGTTTGTTTTAACTTTATTTCTAAAAATAAAAGCAACTCAAGCAGGAGCCCCCACCAGGGGGGAAGGTGGGCACACGATGCACCCACTTAAAGCTTGGGGGGTATTTTTACACTAAATAAAACGAATAGTTTGGGGGGGAATTTAGAATTTGCCCAAGAACTTGGGGGGGGGCACAGAACTCAAGATTTATAAATTTAAAATCAGTAATGAAAACCCATTAAATTATTAGAAGTTTTATCCAAAAAGTTTTTAATAAATTAAAAGAAAAAAAAACCTAACAAATTTAATTACTTTGCAACTTAATTCTTTATGGGTGCCTTAAATTAGATTTCCGATAATTTTCACATTTGAAAATAAGAAAAAGTTTTGTTGAAAAAAAAATTACCTAATTAATGACGAAACTCTATATAAATTCTTTTCAATAATAGATTGCGTTCAGAACAAGGCAACGACAGCAATCACGAAGTTAGTCCCACTGAAAATAATCTACAAGAAATGATATCAAGTTGCGACAAAGAGAAAAAACAAAAAACTAAGAGGTGCGAAAGCGAACATGCGAGATCACGATATAGTATTCTCAAAACTCTGGTTCTGATTCTACCGCTAATCAATCAAGGCCATTTCAACATAACGAAACGAACACCCCGAGTGGGCATCGGAACGTAAGGGAAGATCCTTGCGTGTCTTATGTCGCTATATTGTCTTTCCTCGAAGACTTAAATCAGATTTCTGATGCATCAGAAATCTGATGCATTGCCTGGAACGAAAGTCGCTGTATCGACTTGCCGATATATGCGTTCAATCGATATGTCACGATACATCGATTTATAGCCCAGTCCTACTACCAACCGTTTTTTTAACTCTACATCCCTAAATAACTAAAGCAAATTTTCGCCTCAAACTCACCAGAATTACTAAATATCATTAATATCTTATGAAACACAACAGATTTAAGATCAAAAATTTTATTATTTATTTCTTTTATTGAAAACAAAATTATCTGTTTGAAAATATCGCCTTGCAGAATAAGCTGTAGTAAGCAGCCGTATACTTTCTACCAAGAAGTAGAGCAGAACAAATAAGACCAAAAATAACAACTTATCATACTTTACAATAAGAAGAGTTTAAACTTTAGTAATGAAAGAAAAAAAATCTGTTTTAAATTCAAATTCTGTGAATTAAAAATTATGTCTGTTTTAACTTCATAACCATTTGTGCAAAAATCCTGAAATTTGGACAATTTAAACCATTTAAAACTTGGTAAATTTCTTTAAAATCATTTAAAACTTAGCTCTCTTGAAAAGAACATGTTATAATTAATATTTTGCATGGGTGTTAGCATTATGCATTGTTAAATTTAAGCTGCAACTTCAATTTCAATTATCTTAAAAATAACATCAGTATAGTTTGCTAGCTTACAACTCAATTGTATCAAAAACGAGTTTATTGCATGTTTTCTTTATTTCTGTTGCATGTGCGTTAATATGTATAAAAATCTGTTTCTTTTTCAACATGTTGATTTTCTGAAAGAAAATTACTGAGAAGAAGCAAATAATTTAAAAAGAAATTCAATTATCTTAATTTTTTTTTTTGTTATTGTATGGTTATGTGTAAATTTTATTATTCCTGAGGCAAAAAAGAAATCCAGGCTCTTTAATAAAAACCCTTAGTTTTTTTTTATTTTATTATTATTATTAAATGTTAACTGAGGCTAGAATATGGGCTCAAAATATGGATAGTTTAACAAGAAAAACATCTGTTTTTTATTAAGCTTGCCACATTTCAAGATTTCGGACCCTGCAATATTAATACATAAAACTAAAATCAGTGGCGTGACAGCCTCTAGATGGCCTACTGTGCCCATCTCAGTTTTCCTGACCTTTGGGCTCAGGGGCAGATGTTCCGGTCAGCCCAATGCGGAATCCCCAGTTTTCAGTTCCCAAGCATGCTTGATACTCATTTTATTGACCCACTGAAGGGATGAAAAGCTGAGTCAGCCTTGCCCGGCCCGAGGATCCAACCAAGCACCTGTGTCACGATAATAATGCATAATACTAATACGTAAACAAACTTAAAAGTGAATAAAAAATTATGTTTCTTTTCATCTTATAAGAATATCATAATTTGTAAACTGTGGTTCCTTTCACCTGATTTTAATCATTTTTCTATGGCATACAAAAGATCACAGTGTGCATTTAAAATGGAATGTTGTGTGCATTCCCATTTGTAGACTGTTGCCTTGCTTCATCCAATTTTAATCATTTTTATATGGCGTACAAAGCTTTTAATATTTTATGTGCTTGTATGTATAATAATGTTTTATGTATTTGTAAGCATTTCCTTTATAGGTCGTGGTCTGATCGAGAAATTCGTACAGTTCTTGCACGCCTTTATGACTTACCCTTGGATTTTTCCTCTGTTGCTGTATTTGAACAAATGATTGTCAACTGCTCTTTAACAACAGAAAAGGAGTCTAAATTGGTATGTTATTATTCCATTCATAATTTTCTTCTCATTGTTTCTAACTCTTAATAAGAATACTATAAATTACATTTATCTTTAAATAAGATTTTGATATTCGAAATGTACATAAATTTATATTAGCATAAACTTTTTATGAGAAAATCTTTTAAGGAGAAATTTATGTGGTCAGAAATTCTACAGAGTAAATATATTCTTTTAAATTCTCTATAAACTGAGTAAATTAATTTTTTTCCATTCATCCATATTATTTTGCATATTCAAAATTCTGTGTAATAAAATTATGTCCCTTTATATTTTTTATGTTTTATTGCAGCCCGTATATTTTCTGGTTGACAAGTTTTTGACAATGAATGGTTTTAAGCGTCATTTAAAAAAAAAAACGTTTTGACACAAATTTGACAGTTGTCAAAACTCCAAAATTTTAGTGTGAGGATAATTATTAGCTATGGGGTAAATATGACACAGTTATAAATAAACATACATATAAAATTATAAGCGATAAATCATCTTCTTGAATTATTTTGACAATAAACTCTCTTTTTGTTTTGACAATTACTGTCAAAAACTCAAATTTTGCTGTAGAAAATATTAAATAATTTTAAATAAAAATTGAAATTCATCCAATCTGTTAATTTCTTTGATTGTTGAACTACAGGAACAATCATTTTATGTAAACTTAACAATCATCTTATAAGTAAAATCAACTTTACTTCCTCTTTTTCTCAAAGCATGTGATTACCAAAAATAGTTTTGAAGCTCTCCAAATTCATTTTTCAGTTTTGTATGAATGAGATCGAAAACATTCTTTTGATTGATGCTGAGCTGTATGGCAAACTATTCTAACATAATAAATAACGAGTAATTAGAACATTTATTCTAATAACTCTACTAAATATTGATAATTTCTTAGTTAAATACTTGAATTGCAAAAATAGATTGCTTGATTGCAAAAATTATAAAAAAAATCATTTAAGCAAAAATTTATCTTTTTTGTAAATTATAATTAATTTTTTATCAGGGAATATATTGATTTATTGGAAATATTCATGTGCATGCTAGCAGAATTGTAGAAGATTCTCAGATCTTAATATTTTCTCAGAACATAGTTTTTTATAGATCAAAATTTCTCCAAAGATATTAACGTTTTATTTATTTTTTTTTTAGTACAATAAAATAAAAAAACAATAATTGTTAAAAATTATTAAATACAATAATTTTTGTATAATTATATGAAATAATTAGTTAGTATAAAATAGTTTTGGGGAGTAAAGTTTATATCTTGTTAAAAATTTTGATAAAAAATCAAAGAAAAAAATTTATGTGACACAATTTTTAAATAAACGAGCATATCTGTTAAAAAGTAATAAAAATCAAAATATATTGAAATAATTCATTAAATGAAATTTAAGATTTCACTCAGAAACTCAAAGAATTCAAGCTAATAAATACACAAATCGGCATATATTTTTTAGCAAGGAAAAATTTTAAAATGCGACACATTTTTTAATAATTTGTTAGATAAAACGTTTCTTCACGATTGCTTGAATTTCCCTCAATTCTTAGTTGCGCGATTGAACATGTTCTGCTCCCCTGTATATAAGCAATAACAACAAGTGTTAAGAATAAAAAAAAATTCTAAGTTGGGTTAAGGAAATTATTGCCAACTTTTCTAAGTTTTAAATAGTCTAAAAAATCTGTCTAAGTTGAGCAATAAAATAATTAAAATAAATATTTAGATTGATAATACATAATTAACAACTCATAGTTATCTGTAATGTAAACCTAATAGTTGTAGCAAATAATATTAGGTAATCTTAAAGTATTGAGTAACATAACCATATTTTTAGAAAAATCAGTTAATAGTTTCAATAATTTTTGCTATGTATTTTACATATGTTATACACTATAAATCTTAATTATAATTGTATATAATACAAGTTTTGATTTATTATTTATAAAATATCCCGAATGACTAAAAAGAAACTTGCCTGAGGTTTTTTAACAGTTTTTATCATTTTTTTACACTTTTTGACAGGTTTTTGAGGTGTTGTGTCAAAACTGCAACCTTGAATATTTTGTCTAATTAGCATTATTTACAACATTATAGCAAACTTAAAAATAATAATTCAACAGAATAAAACATATATAAAATATTATTTAGCCATTTTACTGTTCATCTGTAAAATCCCTGTTTATTGTTTTGTTCAGATAATATGGTGTTTTGTTGAAAATCGAATGCTCAGCTTCTGTCAAACGTATGAGATTAGAAGGAGGGTTCCTTACAGAATCACTCGTATTTGTTTTTTAATCTTTCAATAATTTAGGATTTTTTAATATTTTGCTTTGCATTTCCCTTCTTGTTTGCAGCAAATGTATTAAGTGTGTATGAAAATTGATTTATTATATAGTTTCAGGAAATTATTCTTCATTTATTTCGAATCAAAACATATTCCTTTTTACGAAACCTGTAACAATGTTCCAAATGTTTTTCTTGGAATAAAACACTACAAAACTTCATTTAAATCAGTCAGTAGTTATGTGTTTTGATTAGATATTTGCCATCTTTCATCTTTTCTTATCATTCATCTTTGTAAAGATTTTAATTTGCAAATTTAATTTGCAAATTTGGAAGGCTCTATGCATTAAGGATTACAATTTGTTATGTGATATAATTATTTTTTTCAACAGAAATATCTTCAAGCAATTATTAATCTACTAACATCAATCATCAAGTTTTTTCACCTTAATTTTTTAGGAACCTTATCATTTCAACAGAGTAATTGTAATTTACTTTGCATAACAATTAAATCTTTTGAAACACTACAACCAATAGTTTTTGTTAAAATCTTTTTTTAAAAGAAATTTGTTTGCATACAAAAAGAGTCCACTATAAATGTAGATATAATACAAATTCTTTGAACTTTACATTACTGTTTTTTTTTTTTTTTTTTTTTTTTTNTTTTTTTTTTTTTTTGTAATAATAATAATTTTTGTGGTTTCTAAAATCATATGAAAATAATCAAATTATTTTAAGGTTAGCTAAAGAATTCAATCATAATCTTGTTGGTATAAATGGCTGTTTTCAATTTAATGGCTCTAAAAAAATTGGAGTAGTAAGTGCTGCATTCTGTTATTGTATGTAATATTCTGTGTGAAAAAAAATTACTATGAATGCACACATACATACTCAAGCCCAATAGCAAATTTAGATTTTTTGAGATTTTCAAAAAGTTAAACATTAATAAAAGCCAAAAATTTTAAAAGAATAATTAAAACTTATAGTTGGTTTACTCTGATACTTTAAGTCTGCATTATAACTAATTACACTGGCGTGCAAAAGTTTTTGGTCAACACGTGAAAGGCAATTTAACCTTTCTATGCGAATTTTTTTTTTCTGTAGGGATGATTTCTGTTTTATTTAGTCAAGCCAGCATATATATTACACTTGATTTCAGAATTTTTACTTTTCTTGCAATTTATTATTATTTTTTTTTTCTTCTTTGGATTAAATTTAAAACATTGCACTCAATTCAGTTGAATATTTCTTTTTATATATAATTCGAGTATTGTAAGAACTAATTCTTCGAAAGTAAATGTCAATAATAAATTAAAGTTAAAATCGCTATTTCCATAAATAAATATGCAAAACTTATGCTTATTTGTTAAAATTGTAACTTTCAATTGTATTTTAATCCAATTCTTAGATATACAAAAATCGCTTCACAAAAAACAAATACCCGACTGATAGGAAAATTGCATTTGATTTAAAGTTACTTTCAAAGCGCTAACTTTGCTTTCTGGTTGATAAGCATATTAAGAATGTTTAGGAATAAAACTATACGTTATTATTTCATTTCCAATCAACTATCTATAATATTGAGTTTGACTAAAGAATTTTGCACGCTAGTGTAAATGCAGAATAAATTTGTGTCTGAAAAAAAATTCTTTTTCAACAAGAAAATATGATTTCTTATAAAGAGTATGAACTTTGCAAAACTCTTTTCAAACAATTGAAAGTTATAGAACTAAACATGTAAGTCAGATCAGTTAATGTTATTTACTTTAAAATTTAAATAATACATTTTAAAGATTGAAAGACTAGCATAGTGTTTAAACTCTTTGATTGAACTGGAGTAAAGGAAAACCCATTAATGCTTTTTAAACAGCTTATAAACTGGAGGAATATGACCAGAATTTAAAAATTCTTGTATGAAAATTTTCCCCGTCTGTTTTTTTTTTTTTTTTTTTTTTTTTTTTTTTTTTTTTTTTTTTGCATGTTTCTGAATGAAGTAATCTTATCATTGCTTAAAGATGGAATGCTGAAACACTGTAAACTAATTTAAGTATTCTACTCTTCTAAAAAAACTGTTGCAATCAAAGTTAGAGGCAAAAATTTGTGATCTGAATCGCACACCAGAGTTTTAAAGCTTCTAATATATATATATCATATTAACCTGGACAGGTTGCATAGCGTTTTCAAAAAGCTCTTAAAGGTGCTTATTTTTTATTTATGTTTTTAAAATCCCTTAAAGGTGCTTTTTTCATTTGGTGTTTTTAAAATGTGCATAACTTTCCCTTTTCGAAAATGATATTTTTTTTAACATGTCAATTTTCGCCGTATGAAAACCGTGCTTTTCAAATTGCTCAATTCAACGTTTTCACAATTGATTCAACAATCTTTTTTAGCATACCATCGGTCCATAGCGTATGAAAGCGCCAATCATTTTACAAGTTTGATGAAATACTTGCAAGTCCGCATGTGCGCCTACTAAATTGGATTCGGTGAGATTATTACACCCTCATGCGCAGCTCTGTTGCATTTTGCAAGATATTCTCGGTTTCAGGCTTCATTTTCCACCCTTCTGATATCGAAACAAAAAATCTCTCGATTACTTTATAATGGCTAATATAATAAAGAAAAGAGTTCTTTGTCAGAAACTAGTTATTTTATCATGATCATGTAAAGTCTTTGTAAATTATTTTGCATTTTGTTTATGTATATAGTGCTTAAAAATACTTTTTAAGTGCTTTAAAAGTACTTAAAAGATGCTTATTTTTTGTTGAAAGATTTGGCAACGCACCTTGCTATACACAACAAAAAATGTTAAAGAACATAAGCAAGCATCCCTTTACTCAGTTATCATTTTTAAAAGCAACCACATTTATGCTGTTGTTAAAGATAGAATCTGTATTTATTCTTTTTAGCCTGTTGTCAGTGAAACTCTTGTGAAGTCCTGTCAACCCATCTCTCATCTGCTGCTTCAGCGTTTCGGCAGTCGCAAGAGGAATGCCTACGAGGTGGTGGGGGAGGAGGAAGTGGCCTTTAAAATGATTCACAACAACCTCACTCAAGTTCTTGGCCAAATAGACGACCTGAGGAAAAATCCCAAGTCTGTCTCCCTTCCCATTCCCTTTACTCTCTCTCTTCCTTTTTGATTTTCTTGTAAATTATACCTTTTTTTTTCTCTCCAGGAAATTTGTCTGTTTAAATGACAACATGAATCATGGCACACAAGAAGCTGAATTGGTAAATTATTTTATATATGTGTATCCTGTGAATTTATGAGAAGCATTTTGAATATTTGTGATAAATTGTGTAAAACGGATAAGCAGTTTTATTCCCAAATTGTTTGCTTTCAAAACTCCAATTTTTAAATATTAGACATTTATTTCATTCTTTTAATTTAAGAGAACATTCTGTTATATCTTAAAGTACCTTTTTTTTATATTTTACTGAACCCAAAATATAACAAAGCAAAAATCATAATTACATTACAAGAAATAAAATTATCCTAAGATGAAATAAGGAAAAATCACAATTGCATTTTTTAAGTCTTTATCATTAGAAAAAAATAGCAACAAAAATGAAATATCATGTGCAAAATTGTATTGTCAACTTGTATTATAAAACTGTAACTTAGACTGTATTATAAAACTGTAACTAAGAAACCGGGTTTGATAAATATATTTTACATATTTATATATAAAAGCTGCAAATAAATATATTTTGAATTTATGTTTCAATATTATGTTACAATTATTTTGTTTTTATGTTTCAATATTGTTATCTCATTAAATTAAATATAAAGATAACATAAAAGTGTACTACGAATTACAAAAAGCTTAAAATTTTTAATCTCCTTTGATAATTTTTCTAAAATATTTGCTTTCAAACGCATTTTATTTTTACTCAGATTAATTACTGTGCAAGGGTTTATGAAACCTTGAGAGATCTTTCATGAGGGTTTATAGGATCTTTGTGGAAAACATTACTCTAACCTGCAATAAATATAAAACTTTTTTTTACAGAATTGCTACAAACCCTATTTAATTCACACTAACAACGCTTTGAAACTGGCATTTCAAAAATAAAAAACTTGCTTCACAAGAATTTTTTGACTGCATTTAAAAGAACTTTCTTTTCATTACAACTCTAGCTGTAATAAGATTATTACTCTAAAGCTTGGAAATAATTACCTATAAAGAAAAGGGGAGAAAAGCCACTGAAATGTGGACATAACTGCTGCTGATTGACTGTTCTCTCTTTTTTTTTTACTATTCATTCACATTCCGTAAATAGGAATAAAATTGAATTACTTTTCATTAGTAAACAATTGTAAATGTCACAAAAATTGTCATCTTTTAATTTTATTAAAAACTATGCTAAAAATAAAAATTTGTGGTACAATTTAAAGAAATTCGCCATTTTTTGAAGATATTTTTTATTTATTTATTTACTTATTTTTTTTCCAATTTTTTTTATTTTTAAGAGTAGTTTTTCAGTTGCAACTTATTTTATAGCAATTGTTTGTAAACGGAGCACTATTTGGTCGCTAGTTTCATTCTATTCTTCATTTAAAAATAATGGCATAATAGTGGAAAAACTCTTAATTTTAATACATGCATGTGTCTACAATTCTAATTCACTCAGTCGCATTTTTATCCGACATTAAAGTGATAAATTCCAAAATATTAAATAATAATTTGAACTATTTAGGTCATACATAATTTAATGAACACCCATTTTCAGATCCGAGCAGTGATTGAGGATTTTTATGAAGCTTTGTTTCCATCGAGATCTCAGTTTGAATTGAATCCTGAGTACCGCAACAGATTTCTGTATGTGGCTGACCTGGAGGAGTGGAGGAGGACGCGTGACATCATACGCGCTGTCACTTACATTACGCTGGCCATCCTCATCATCTTCTCCATCACATCCTTCTGGAAGGCTGAAGTATGTATCTCTCTCTCTCTCTTAAATATCTGAAGTCCAATTTGTTATTACATAGACATTTCATGCTCATTAGAACTTCCAAAAGTAACCCTTCATTCCATTAACGTGTATCAAACCATTATAAGAGCTCTGTATCAAACCCAATGATGTTAATCTTAGTTAATTTAATCATTTATACAGGTTATCTGCGCGCCTGGAATGTCATCAGAAATTGTGGAAAGGCATGAATTTCGGTATTGAACAAAATTTGTCATGATTTTAACTATTTTTTTTAAAAAAAATCATGGAAAGTTATGGATTTAAGTCATCGAAAAATCTAATTTTTAAAAGTAAATTTGCCCCCCCCCCTCTTAATTTCATGGTTTTCCGAATATCTGAATTTGTAACAAAATCCCCGCTCACAGTCATATTTTTTTTAAATGCAAAATTTTTTTATCCTGTTCTTTAAAAAAATTTTTGTCCTTTCAAAAACAGTACGAAAAAACATCATTTCTAGAGCGGATTTTTCTTTTAAAACTTCTGTGATTTCAGAATTTTTATTATTATTTATTTATTTTTTATCAATTTAAATTGCCAGTCATTGGCAAATTTTTTTTTTTATTTTGAAATGAGAACAGACAAAAAAGAGTATTTTTTTCCTTTCCTGATGAACAAGAAAAGTATATAAAGATACTTTTCCTGTAAAGTTTTCTGTAGAATTATATTCTTTAGAATATAATTCTGCGGGGAAACAATTTCTTTGCTTTTGTATTTTTTCAGCTATTTTATTGCTTTATCTCTTTCTTTACTTTGTTTTTTAAATTTAAAATCTATAAACATGAAGATGCAGAGTATGAAAGTTTTGGTTAGACCTATCATTTCAATGAATGTTATTATAATGCTTTTTTAAATTTATTCTTGTGTTTTTAGTAATAAAAGTAACTATTCTCATTGTTTTCATTGTAAAGTAACTATTCATTGTAAAAGTAACTATTCTCATTGTTTCTCATTGTTTTTCATTTCTTAACTTCGTTAAGAAATGAAAAAATATTTTAATTCGTCATGAAAAGTCACGGATTTGAAAATCTAAAATGTAGCAGATACCCCGAACATAGTTCCTGTTACACTTAAAAAACATTTTTACTGTATTTATGGTTTTTGATACAATAATTGATAAACTTTGACTTCTAGGGCTTTTTTTTTTTTGTACAATCTGCAGTCATTTTGTTTTTAAAAAAGTTTTTTTTTTAACCTTGTATGGTTAGGGTTAACTACATCAATATGATTAATTAATTAATAATATTGATGAAAAGAAATCAGGTAAAAATGAAAGAAGTTTTAAAATCTTTGTTGTCAGAATTTAATTTTACTTCATTGATCCCAAAAACTTTAGTTTCAAACTATGTCTAACTGTTTTAACTGTCATTTTAAACATGTAAAACTATAGCTATGTGTTTTTATTTGTTATGCAACTGATGCATTTATTTAAGAAAAACAGTCTTTTTTTTAAAAGACAGCTCATCAAGTTCTGTGAATTTCTGTTTAAAGTATAAAGTCTCTGTGTCTATCTATTAATGTGCTCATAGATAACTATTCTATCTATTGATAGAGATCACAAAAAGGATTATATTTTAGTATGCAAAAGGCTTTTAATTAGAGCTGAAGAGGGATGGAAGAAAGACATATGATACCTCAAATTATAAGTTTCTACTAAAATAAAAAAGAATTTATATAAATATTAATCAACCGACGCAGTGTTTTTTTTTCTTCTTCTTTTGTCGCTAGGGAATTATGCATCCCATGGACGCTTTATAACTTGTTTTTTTCTTATTCCCTTTATAATGTTCGGCATATCGATATGTTGTAGAACGTAAGGAGAATTGCTGACAAAGATCATAATCACTATAAAAAATAATTATTTTCATTAAAATTTAAAAAACAAATTTGTGTGTTGACTTTACTAAGAAAAGAAAAACTATGAAAAAATAGGAAAGCTTTTGTATTATATTTTTCTTATAGTTGAGAAAAAATTTCGCAAAAAGTCTTAACGAATTAAATAAGAGTTTAACGTGTGAATAACGTAACAAAGGAGAAAAAAAAATTTGGATTTGGTTGGTTTTACAGCCAAATGCCGTCAAAGCAGTGAATAATAATTCCAAACTTTAAAACTCATTAAATGCTCGTGCATTTATTATTATTATTATTAATTTGTTCGAAAAAGTTGTTACTTTGAGCAATATCCTTGCATTTTCATTGCTTTTCAACTAGTCTATGGTAATATTTATCTTATAGGGTTCATATTTTATTGTTCGATGATTTCTTTTTTTTATTTTGCAGATGAGAGCACCGGAGCGTTATCCCAGACTGAGGAATTTACAAAACAGACATTCCAATCCTCATTTTGTATGATAAGAAAGAATAATTTGTGAAGAAATATTTATGTAACCGAGCTTAAACGTGTGGATATTGGAAGACAGTTGTTTCCGTATTCTTGGGAGTAAGAATTCATTTTAAAAAATTATGTTTACACAATGATGCAAATTTCTAGTGAATGCTTGAAATGAGTGCTGTCCTTCTTGCAGTCTGTAAATGTACTTCTATTTGACTATTTTCACGTTGCACAACACTTTGTTGACAAATACATAAAATACCCCTAGCAAATAATTTTTTTTATCTTCACTTTGACATATCGAGCAAAATAAGGAAACTTTATACAGGCCAGTAGTTGTATTTTTAATAGTGACTACTTATCAAAACACGTGGTCACTTTTTAAAAAATTGATAATTTTAAATAATCAGAAAAAAAACCTGGTTTTAATGCTTCTTTTTAAGCCTTTCTCAAAATACGGTATGTGTTAAAAGTATACAATAATAATAATAATAATAAGATTCACATGCATTTTTAACAAAAAAGTGGTGATTGGGTAGCATTTGGCAGAATTTGGTTGGTAATTTTTTGGCAGCTGTTTGTCCTCCTGTGGTGATCAGTAATTTTGCCCTATAGTAGACTAACTTTTTATTATTCTTTTGACATTTTTAAATCGCATTTTACTCCTTTTGTTGACAAGTACCTTGTTAGACACTTTTCAAGTTTCTCCTTTAAAAAAAAATGTGTTACTCCTCCTTGGTGCAGCTCTTACTCTTCTTTTTTTTCTTTTTAAATCTTTTAATAAGAGCCATGAATTTATGAAAAGATCCTCATAAAAGTATGGCTCCCCTGTGGCACAATTTTTTCAGGCTTTCTGCAACATACCTCTCTAGTATTAATATCTTTCTGCAAGATACTTAAAAATGACAAATGTACATGTTACTAATTAAAAGTAACAGAAGCGTTAACTTGAGGTAAATAAATAAAAAAAATGGGATCAAGTAAAATAATTTGTTTTATTTGAATATGTAATATTTTTATTCTAATATTATGGGCAATATTCTCACATTTTCTAGGAAGATAACAAACTAATTATTTCCTTTTCGAATTTTGTAATCCATCATCCCATTAAAAAAAAAAAAAGAATCGTGAAATCCATAGCAGTAACTACCAAAAAAAGAAATTAACTGTGAAATCATGCGAATCGGACTCTCCAAAATGGGTTACTACATGCGTAGTTTCATTTCGAGATTCATTTATTGTAATAAATAATATTGTATTAAAAATATCGGATTTTTAAAAGCTTGTGAATTAGCAGTAATAAGTGCATAAAAAAGTAGAACGAAAATTTCTACAGTAAAGAAAACTAAATTTTTTACTTCATTATACTTTATTTTTTATTATTCTCAAATGATAATAGAAAAATCTTAAGCTTTTTTCCACTCCGATGCGCGAGAAAGGCATCTTTTAAATATAATTCTGCAGAAAAGATAAAATCTTTTCTTCGAAATTTCTGCAGAAAAGAAAAGCTAAATTTTTTTCATCCCAGAAGAAAAATCTTTCCGCAAGAACTCGGTAACGTTGTGCGATGATGTCGCCACGATTCTGCCACAGGGAATATATGAATGTTATGAAGTATAGCAGAGTCAAGATTACGTTGTTACAGTTGAACAATAAAAATTATGATTCATCAGAATTTTTGTAATAATCTGTAAAAAATAAGTGTTTTTCCTCCTAACTACCACGAAGTTTTGTTGTTTGCTGAGAATATTCGGATAAAAAAGTAACACTGAATTGTTACTTTTTTATATTTAATCAGTAAATTCATGCTCAATATTAATCACTTACCTATATAGAAATAGGTAGCAAAATTGAGCTAATTATATTATTGAACTTCTGATTAATGGTAGCTTGTCTTGAAGGTTAGCACCTGTTTATGACCAACACATTTTTTTTTCCATCAAAACAGTCAATTTATGATTCATAATTTTTGTGTTGTGATAAATTGAAATTTTTCCTTTTATAAGTTACATAACGCTAGTCATTATTATTATTATTATTTATAATAAAATGAAAGATTCAGCTTGAAATTTTTACTATTTATTCAGTTAACTAAAGTGTATTCCTATATTTATATTGTTTATATATATTTTTGAAGAATAGTTTGCTAGGTAAATAACTGTTGATAAATAATCCTTGTGTCTTCCACTTATGTTATTGATATTGTATCATAAAATTTTGTGCATTTATTGTACCCTTGAAATTGTGAAAGGAGAAGTGGTCAGTTAGATTGAAACATTATTGTTTGCCTGGTCTTCATTGAGCAAAAATATAAGGCGACCAAAAAAAAAACAGATTTACTTTATAATTTGAAAGCTCATTAAAATGTCACAACCAAACTTTAAAATAAATATTCGAACATCAAAAACCCGGTGGCCCGGTATAAAAATTCCATTCCTTCCATAAAGAATTTTGTAGGGCTATAAATGTCTTATAAGGTTTTTGTGCAAAGTCTTGTCTCACAACTGAAATGGAGAGGAAATTCCTTGAACTCAAGTCTGGTGAATAAAATGGCCATTATTGTGGTGTCCAAATGCCACCATTCCTGACTCTAAGTGTGCTGCAGCAGCCAACATTGAAACACATGTTTGAATGTGTATTTTTTTATCAATGCTTAACAAAAAATATCTGAAATTCTGGTGGTACATAAAAATAATTGGTCTTAAATTTTATCCAAATTATGTCATGTATTTAATGAGTGTGATATGAGGCCAACATGTTGGAAAGATTGCATTAGAGCGATAATATTTCTCAAGACTGATGCATTTAAATGAATTGAATTTCTTTATTTATTTGTTGGTTTTCTTCCTATAATGATATTGTGTTTCTAGTCATATCTCGTTTTGTATTTACATTTCATGATTAAATTTCATAACATTCAGAGTTTTTTTTTTTAATGATAACCTTCAATGTGTTATTATCATTAATATACATACCCGTACATATATTATACACCTAAGCACACATTATTCCCACATTATTTAGAGACTCAAATTAAAGTGGAAAAAAAAGCATTTCCAAACTTTGTCCATTGTCCAACTTTGTCCAACTATGACTACTGAAGGAAGAAGAATTGTTAAAATCATCCAAAACCGGTTTTTTTTAAAGAATAAAGTTTAAAAACATCTCTCAGTGAGAACACATGAATTTTATCCCATTAAACAAATAAACTGATTTTTAAATTATTTTAAACCTACATTTGCTTTTCTTATCCTCAATAATGACACATCAGTAAATGAATGTTTTTTTTTCCCACACTTAATTATTAATGTAGTAAAAACGCATTCTAAACACTCATTTTGTAGCACTAATATATATTTCTCACAATATTCTATGTTAGTGTAATCATTACAGAAGACGCTGTTATGAATTACATAAATTATACAATTTATTAACAAATCAAAGTTGAAATAGCATTGTTAAAAATATATGTTTATCTGAATGAGTTTATTTTTTAAATTCTTCAAGTTGTTTAATACTATAACACTCTTAGCAATCCATGTAATACTTGCATGAAAAAATCGATAGGGCCTATTTTGTTCATAGCGGGTAGTTCTTTCTTTTACCTACCACTTTAGTTTTAAAAAATTTTCTACGCTTTGACACGAAATGAAAAATATTTACAAACATTATGGTATCTCGATCCTGAAAAGTAAATTACAAATAATAAAATATTTGTACTACCACTTTTTTTTTCAACTTGAAAACAGTTTTAAGTGGCGCCAGGCATAAATGAGTTCTATGCCTTTCTATCAGTTTTTTCAAAGTAGATAAATATCAAGTGCTATAGATTCCGACTTTTATTGTGAATATTTTGAATGTTACACAAAACAAAATAAGTATTTAAATTCGCACGATTTTCCAAAAGTAAACAGATCTACAAATTTATTTATTAAATTTATTCTGTTTCCTGTAATTTTTTACGATCTTTAATAAATTTTTTGTAATGGCTTTAATTTATAAAAATAATTTCTCTTCATCGATGTTGAATGTAAATAAGATGAGAAATATTTGTGCAGTAGAAAAGAATCAATTGTTGGAAGAAACTCTTTCAAAAGGAAAATTGTTTTCTCAGTTAAATACAATCCAAACCCTTTATAATCCCAACCACATCCTTGATTTTTAAATGTTAAGGGATTTTTCTTATCCTTTAGATTTGTTCAATAACTTTTGTTTTATTTAATACATAAATGTGGGTAATAGCTTGAAGTCAAGGAGAGAGCCATTTTCTCATGTGTGTTCCTTCTTTTAATCAACTTGCTACAGGTTTTTTTTTTATAAACATAAATTTATAAATTCCATTATTTATAATCATACAGGGTTGCCACCCCGCAGGAAGAATAGGGAAAACCTAGGAAACACAGAGACTTTAACAATCACTTAAAATAACAGGGAATTTTGAGTTTTTCTTTACAAACTGGGTAAATACAGGGAATTTCGGTTCCTATTTCCGGCTTTTAAAAAATGGTGACCACTCAAAAGGCAGTCTATGGGATATTTAAGGATGATATTTCAGCTATACTAAGCTATTTCATTTACTATAGCATTGTTTAAATACGTTCAGCTGTTTCTTTTTTTGAAAATTTTCAGCAATTGAAACTAATATAGTTGGCCTACAGCTCATACAGTTTTCCTCTTAATAAATATGTTGAGGGGAAAACACAGGTTTTCTAGACTTGAGTGGCAACACTGCAATAGAACAAAAACTGGTTTTAAAAAAATCTATTTTGCGTTTGGATAATAAACTAAATTAATTTTTTTTTTATCTATATATAAATCAATCCCAAAAATATTTTAACATAAAGTATTAAGAAAACAGGGTGCTTAGCGAGCGATTTTAAAAAATGCTTAATGGTGCTTATTTTATATTTACGTTTATTAAAAGCCCTTACAGGTGCTTTTTTTTATTCGGGGTTTGTAAAAAAGTGCTTAGTTTTCTATCTTTAAAAAAGAGATTTTTTCTTTGCCATGCCGATTGTGGTTCTAAATTACAAAAAATGCATGATTTTCACAATTTTTCTCCGCAATATTTATCAGAACGATTATGTATTTTTGAAAATGTTTTTGAACTTAATTGATTTTATGTTTATAAATTAAGAGCTTTAAACTATGGAAAAAAATAATTTTTTATTACTGCAAAGATCCTAATTATGATTTTTTTTTGTTGTTTTGGAAAGTAATTAACAATATTTTTTGAGTGCTTGAAAAGTACTTAAAAGCTGATTATTTTTTGTAGAAAAATCTGGCTACGCATCCTGGAAAAAATAACTTGATAAAGGGTTTTAAAAAAACAGCTCTGAAACTATATTTAATTAAAAATGAAAGTGGAAACAACATTCAACTTTTATTCATAAACTCAAAAGTTTTCAACAATATAACATGTTTATAAATTTTTAATAATCCTACGAAAAGAATTCAAAAATAGGCACTGAGATATATTTTCTCAAAATTATTTGTTTGATTTTATTTATATATATAATGAAAAATATCTTTTTAAATTAAAAATTAGAGTGAATACTTATAATGGCACAAAGCGTGATATCACAACTGTTGGTTTTAGAAAATACTAAATTTACATCGCTTTCAGTTGGTTACCTTTAATCATTGTCCCTTGAAACCTCCACTCTACAAGTTATTACGTGAGTCACGGTGGCTCAGTGGTATAGGCACTGTTATTGTGAAGCTTTGGGGTCCTATATGCGTGGTTCTATGCACATTTTTCTTCCAAACATTACCAAAAACACTTTTTTTCTACTTATGAGATCAAATAATTATAAACACTTCGGTCTAGAACAATTCTACTTTTAGAGTCCACAGTTACATGTATACTTAAATTATGTAATTGAAATTCATAATTCCAAATACATGGTTCAGTCGTTTTAAGATTCAGATTCAGTGCCTGCCATTGGTAAAAAAAGAGAAAGAATTGATAACACTTGTACATCGTTGAAATATTTCCTAATAGAGTGGATGAAATTGCAAGCAAAACAGTTTACAGCAGTCTATGGTTCTTTTTTAATTCAAAGCAAATCGAATTTCAGAATTAAAAGATTTTGGAGCTGTTGGCAACTCCATTTGTAAATTATTCTGATAATCCAATGAAAGTGCATGCAGCTTAATATTGATTATTGTTTCCAACTCATATTTATTTTATTTTGTTGGTATTTATTAGTTTAATTTCATTAATATTAAGCATTCGTAAAACTTAAAAAAGTAAAATGCTCCAAGTCCATTGATTAAAAATTTGACAGTTTTCTAGACCCAAATAGAGTGTTTAACCGGAAAAAAATTTAAGTCTTGATTCGTGTGTGTCGTAGAAATCAATACATTGGTTGTTATTTCTTAATCATTGAAACACTTTTAAGGAAGGTAGAAAGCTCTTAAGATGATTTCTTCACAAAATAATCATCACTTTTTCTGCGTAATTAGAGTTAACTCGTGTATGATTCTCAGTTAAATATTTCTTCCTCAATGTGACACCCTACTTGTGTTGCTTCATCCAAGAAGGTCTTCAGAGGAGTTCTCTGTTTCTATTCCCATTAAAGAGGTTGTTTGCTTTATTGGCATTTCTTCTCGCCAGAAACATGACCTCTCTGGAATTCAGGAATGGAATTCTCTCTCCTCTTATTCCACCAACAACGATAGAAGAATCCTCAAAGTTCAGAACACTCTGTCCAAAAGATATATATAAGATTTCAAAGGCTTAGATTAACAAGATGAGCAAACAAGAAGTTCTATTAAATGCTTAAAAGTTATGTGGCAAAATAAAAAAAGAATTCTCGTAATACTTTTCTGTTATCGTTAAAACTTGTAACTCAATTAAATAAAAAATAAAAATTCTGCTGTGATATCCCCCCCCACTCTTTTTATGCTTGAATCCTAATTTACACAACTCAGTTTTAAGCTTTTTTTTTTCAATTTTGAGATCAAATATTCAAAAAAATACGCTACACATACCTCCCTCAGTTAAGTTACTTCTCATTAGTATGTAATTCACTGAACTATATACACTGGTGGACAGAATTAAGAGATGGAAAGCATTTTCGCACATGCAAGATACCCACACACCGCTCCATGTGTTTGACAATGGTTCCGTGAATGCCCAGAGGTACAGGCAGGAGGTCCTAGAGTCCTATGTGCGTCTTTTCAGGGGCGCTGTTGGCCCTGAGTTCATTTTTATGGACGACAATGCGCTACCACATAAAGCTCTCATGGTTGATGATTATCTGGAAAGCGAGAATATTCAACGAATGGATTGGCCAGCCAAATCCCCTGACCTGAATCCATTTAAGCATGCTTGGGATGCTCCAACCTTCCCCCAGAACCATTCTGGAGTTGAAAATTGCTCTGGTGGAAGAATGGGAGGGTCTTCCTCCAAGTCCTCCTTAACTTCCTTATTAACAGCATGCATACTCGTTGTGCATGCTGTCTGTCTGTGAGGGGTGACCATACACCATAGTAGAGGCAACACACACTGTACAAGCCTCACTTTTATTCTTAAGTTCAGACTACATTGGATTTATTGGCAATAGGTCTTGCCAGTGAATAGCACTTTAATTTTTGTTTTGCATACTTTACATGGAATAAGTCATACCAAATTTCATTTATTTATATTCAGTATTTTTTGTGATATTTGGGAAAATGTCTTCCATCTCTTAATTTTGTCCACCAGTGTANAATAATAATAAAAATAACAAGAAACCGGAAAAAAAATCAATCCGAAAAAAAAAGGACAAAATTTTTTTTTAAAAAATCCGGAATATAAAAGATATAATCAGCTCACATGATTATATCCAAAAAATATCCCTTTTTTTCGGATTGATTTTTTTCCCTCCAGTTTCTTGTTATTTTTATTATCATTTCCACCCCCCCCTCTTTCATTGTTCTGTAATTTTTCCCTTGTTTTCTCTACATTTTGAACGTTGCCGAGTGGAAGGCTTAAAACAGGTCTTAGGCAGGGAAGGAGGGTACAAAATTTATTTATTAATTATTAAGACAGAGCAGTCATGAAAGTGTACACAAAAAGTTGCACTCCTCGGTTATATGTTAGGGAAAATCTTGCAAAGTAAAATCCGTAAAAATGTCTTAATTTAGGGAATGAGGGAAATCTTAGTAGTTGCTAATGGTTTATGAAATAGATCGAGCGTTTCCCACTGGGAGCAAAGGGAAAAATGTCCTGCTTTTAATAAAATTCATACTTGAGCCAAAAATTAATTTAAGAACAGGATGTGGCTCTTAAAAATGTGAGAAAGTATTTCGATTAGAATAATTAATTAGGATTACATAAAAAGATTAATTGAAGCTTTTTATGTTACAGATATATATACACACAAAACTATGGGGGGGGGGTCTAAAAGATTAAGTTGCGTAAAATACAGTAACGAAAAAAGAGAAGAAAACGGAAGGATAGTTGTCATAGTGACGAAATGATTACGTTTTTAAGCTGTAAACGAAATCGTGTCATTTACAACTAAGGGCAGAAAAAAAAATGGTGATTAGTGCAATGCAATGCAATGACTTTAGAAAAATAATTTTGCAAATTACTGTTTAAGTCCTTGAAATATGTGTATTTTAAATAAGAAAATTAATTCAAACTGTTGATACTAGTCTCATTTCAATCATAAATTCATATAATTAAATATAAATGTTTCGATTTTGAGCTTGAGGGTGCAGATAATAAATTTTACAAAATGTAACGTTTTTAAACTCGCACATTAATTATTCTAAAAACTCTCTATAATAGAAAGGTTTTAAATAAAATTAAAAAAACATTTATTAAACTCTGCAGACTCACGGAGTCGATATAAGCCGGTATGCAGCAGTTATATCGAAGTGCAGTTTCGAATTCTCTGTTTATTGAGTTACTGTAATGATGCGAAAAAAATTTACCCCACAAAAATATTTTTCCAATTCACTGGTATATAAGACATATTAACTCGATTCTATGTTGGGGTACCTTTTCATAGATGAAGATGGAAATGGCGATAACATCTCTCTCCACATGGGTGACCCGGACGTGATTGTTGTTAGTTTGTTTGCTTTATATTAAAGAATGATGTTCCGGTATATAGTATTTTTTATTTATCTTCCGAGCTATCACTAACCAATAATTGGTGACCTTCGGACGTGATTTGAACACGCCTACCTTGGCAGAAACGCCCACTTCGATGGATGGTTCACATGGAACAATTGACTTGTGACATTATCCTCCTTACGCTGTTGTTTCTTAGTCTCGATCGCACAGAACGACTGCTAAAGGCAACACAAGAGCAACCATGACCGTGAACTCTCACGATCAGCACTCAAAAAGTACGGTGATCTTAATACAGCTCTTCCGGCATCTCACCAAACAGCAATGAATCAACTAGTGGTATTCGTTCATCTAATTCTAACGCATTGTGCAGCTCTTCGTGTGCTAGCATTAATTAAGGTGCGTAAGTATTTACCTGTGTTTTTCGCAAGAAGTCTATTCCCAAAGTAATATCAGTTATGTGATTTTCCACTGCAAATGAAAAAAATATATTTTTATTACACACAATATACATGTGCGTAAAATACATGATTATATATCTATCAGATTCTATACTAAATACTATTTGATTTTAGATTATTACATTCCACGCTTCAGATCTGTAGTTATTTTGTACAAGATGTGGCTATTCATTTCCAGAAACTGTTCTAATGTGGATTATTTAGACAAGGCTACTCTTAAATTATTATTTTTTTTTAAGTCCCGCAGTCGACTGATCGTTAAGACACGGTTCCCAGCAGATCACCGAAGTCAGGCATCGCTGGCTGCGTGCTGGTGGGTGACCACTTGGATCAGTCTGCGTAAGGACCGAGGGTGTGCGGTATGGGTCCACGTTAAACTGTTCTACCGTAAAGTGCTCGACTTCTTTGCGTGCATTTCATCGGGCTACAGAAGCAGGGGTGCCACCCCGTCTGCAGAGGATCATCCTCAGGGATGTTTCCCAGACCGTCGACATCTGCCCATTGAGCAGCTCTAGTGCGACGTAAATGAACTACACCAAACCTTCAAGTTTATGAACTTTATTTTATCAATGGAATTTTTCTAGCATGGCTGCAAATGTTTGTTATTTCAATGTAAAGATGTTAATTAAAAAAGCGTTTCTGACGCATCAAATGTTTGGATATTTCAAATAGAACCTTCAATTATCAGTGAAAGAAACGTTTCTCTCTCTCTTTTAATAAGTCCCCAATAAGCGTATGACATCCAATGCATAGAGTTGCCAATTCTCATCATTAAAAAAATACCTCACAGTTTTCAGAGCGATATGAAATAAACAATTGAGGAAGCAATTTAAATTTGTCACATTGTCAGGGTTGTTTATATCAGGGTGCGTAGCCAAATCTTTGAATCAAAAATAAGCACTTTTTAAAAACTTTTCAAGCACTTTACAAAAATTTTCAAGCACTAAAAAATTTCATATTCAATCAGTGATATCATTGAAAAACAAAAACTTTTCATAAACAGTTCTAGCGTTAAAAAAAAAAATCCAAAAAGAAACAAACGTAAATCGAAACAATCCACATCATCGAGTGAATTCAACTTGACCCTGAACTCAGAACAAAAGTACCCGTACCCCCTACGTCGAAAAAGTGCTAGAAGTAAAATAAAATAAACAATAATAAAATTAAAATAAATTTAAAAAAAAAACATTTCATAAGGATCTGATATTCTCCATCCGAATTGGAGCACTCGGGTTTCGGTTTCAAGTGTGCGTGCATGCGCAAGTCATAACGTGGGTACGACATGAAGTCCGCGTGAATGATTACGTAGCAAACACCCCATTTTNATATATATATATATGAGCTTAGAATTATTATTTATGCGTTGCAGTGATTGAAAATCTTTTTAAATGAAAGTTATAAAATTAATAATCAAATAGCATATTGTAATTTTGAAATTTGTTACCCTATTAAACAAGGATGGAAAAATCAACGGCTGAAAAGTTGAACGTCGTTGGTCTCTATCAACGAAATCTAATTTTGTCATTTAATTCTAAATTATGAAGTTAATCTAATCAGTTAGCAGATTACTAATTCTGGTCACGTTTTGAAAGAAAATAGCGAATTGTTTGAATACAGAAGACTGACTTTTTTTTTAATTTTAATGGTACTTTCATGGGTTCACTATTTTGTAAAGTGGATCGAGTCTTTATGTTGACCACAAGTCTAAATTTCTCATAATGTTATTGCCCGAAATTGGCAAAGGCACAAAAAAAAACAATTCAATTCCACTTTTATAAGTTGACCACTTGTCTAAAGAAGGCTATTACAACAATGAACCTGTGTAGTAAAGATTGCTTATACCTATGTTGAACTGTGCTACCTGTTGCCATGTCGATCCAATGCTGAGATCGATGTACTTTACTTTTCCTTTCAACTCTTTCTGCTGCTGCAAGGAAAAGGAGTCGAACACGTGACCCGTGTCAGGTACAACCTGGTCTTGTAGCCTGAAAAGATCGATTTTTTTTTCTTATTATTTATGCTAGCTGAACACCGTTCTTCACCAGGCGAATAAAAAAATAAACCAGCACTAAGTAACACTACGAAATGCCGAAGTTTTAAAAGCTAATAGATTTTTTATAAGATTTTGATAAAGACTTGGAAACATGGCCATTTCTCTATCTGACCTTTAATTTGGTGTTTAGAATATTTATAAGTAGTAGAGGAAAAAAGTTTTTTTTAATTCAAATTCATTGAAATGTCTTCGCTACTACTGTAAAATATATTTTTCTGAAACTTCCTTAAAACTTGTTGCAGAATTCTTATTAAAACTGCACCCATTACCATAATACCAGTAGTACATAGTGTCAAATATTATGAAGCGTCATCTGCTTATATAGCGATTCTCTATTGCTCACTGAAACAAATTAACCCTTATCCCATTTTTTCATTAACTTTGCTTTTTTTTTTTAATTTTAATTCATGTGTGTTAGTAACATTAATTGAGCATCATTGTCGTCAGTAATGGTTTGGAGATTTTAACAGTTCCTCTAGATTTTTACTCCATTCATTTGAATTTTTAGTTCAGAACTTATTTCAATATTCATATATTAGTGGGTGAAGCGGGCTTGAATCCCACAGATGGTGGGTTGATACGAATTCCACATCCGGCTTACAACCGACCACAGTGTCGACGCAAAATATCCTCAATAGTCGAAGGATCGTGGGTTTGAGCCCCCTTGCAGCCTGGCTAACCGTTTCAGATTTTCGTGGTCTTCCACTCTATGTAACGCAAATGCGTCTTAGTTCCATCAAAAATTCCAACATGAAGGCAAATTTCTCCCAATATTTGACCCAGAAGATCCCTTGTCTTCTGGATTGGGTTCAAAATGACAAGGATACGGAGGTGAACATTAGTAGTCGTAAACCCAGAATTGGATCAGCAGTTCAAAGACGGTTATAAGATTAAAATATGCGTAGAATGACTAAATTAATTAAGCACCATTGGTGTCAATAATAGATTGGCGATTTTTTACTTTCTCCTAAGCGAATAATACCACTTTTCCTTTAAATTTGCCACTGGAATACAGAGGACTAAGTTTTTTTTTTTTCATTTCAAATATCGCTGATTTTAAATTATATACTTTTATAGAAACGACTTTTAAAAGAATTACAATAAAAAATGTATAATTTCAATACTAATTTAATAACGTAGTCCACGTGTGCTACCACACTAATGTTGTTCATTGAATTTCTGTAACATAGCGAATAAAAAATAATTAAATATTGAAGAATGTGTAATACACTTTTTTTCATCAAATAAAGCTAAAAGCCAACAAATATCACTTATGTTTTCTTTAAAATATTTGAAAACTTGAAACGTCTATAGTTGAATTTAAAACAATGGTTAACGTTTAACCAAACAAAAAATTCTATTTCATTTTTCTCTCATCCAGCCCGAACGATTCGTCGTTGAATGTTCTAATGTCGACAGTGACTTTTCCTCGTGTTTCGAACTATTTGTGCTCCAAATTTCATTTCTTTCAGTTGGATGGTTTAGGAGTCTATAAATGACACACAAACATACATCATTTAGAAAGAGAGAGAATTTAATAGTGTTTGTCTTTCACGTGATTGAGGTGCGCGTTCAAACGACCCATTGCTATTACTGATCAATAAAATCTAGACCAAACACGAAATCTCTCATATTGTATAAAAAAAAAAAACATTCTTATGCACGGCTCTTAATAAAGAGATTTTGCATTCCTTCCTTTTGCACTTAACACTCCTTTAATAGTTGCTTACAATTTATAGATATAATCAAGGGGAGAAATTTCAAAGAGAAGAGGGCATGATGCAGGATTAATATTAGATAATCAATTTTCAAGAATTTATTGCGGGCTAACATTATTAGTATTGAGGGAAGTTAAAAAAATCTGTTTTTGGAGCTAATTCGTTTGATTTGGCACATTTTTTTTAATCTAAGTTCAAATATTTTCTGACAGATGATCTCTGTTTGTTCCTTGTTTTACCTCTCTTTACAACGTGTGATAGTTGTAGAGGGGTGGGCATTTTGAAATTATCATCATGTCATTTTCATTCACTGAAATATTTCAAAAAATTCTGATATGATTTTCAATTGCTTTTATGATGTGTCGACTGTTTTATGACTCGCAGCGCCATATGATGAGAAAAAACTTAACAAAAAACAAAGACTGGTTGTGGAGAAAACGTATTTTAAAAAAATACAATTTCAGAAAAACACCATAATCATTTTCCTGAAATAAATATCCAGTCTAATTTAGGACATGACAGAAGGATTTTTTTTCCCTTCATAGAAAGTATTATTCTTGTTCCGTTCAATTATTATGTTAAGCATCGAAGAAAAGAGGGGGGAATTCATGATTTACTTATTTTTACGAAGTAGAAAAAAAAATTAAATTTTCCTTCTTATAATAAACTGTTGTTCCAAACGAAAATTCAGAAATGAAAGAATTGAAAATCCCTTCATAATTTTCTTAAAAAGCAAAATAAGAAATTAACAAAAAATGACGCACAGAAAATTTTGAAATAAAGGTTAAGATTTAGACGTCAAAAGTTTTGAACAAAAAATAAAAGGTTCCTTACATGTTATAAAATAGATTAAAACGTAAATGTTGCTTTATTGAAATGACACTTTTTTATTTTAATTTGATCATCCAATATAAGCGAAGTAAATACCAGGGGGAGGGAGGCATATGATTTGCTGAGAAATGGAGGTGTCATAAATAATGTAATATGTGAACGATCCCCAGAAGTGGTTGAATAACGTAAATGATACCTTAGCTTTCTGAGGAAGTTTGCTGACATAGTTGAGACAGGCTCCGATGAACTTATATGGGCAAATGCTTCACTTCCATTGCACTATAGAAAGAGAGAGAAAATGATCAATAGGGGTGACTTTTCATCAATGTCCGAAACATACATACTAGGTCTAGCCTCCATATATATTTGCCCTACATCAATTTTTTTTTAAGGTCATTTAACCGCTATCCTCAGAAAATATTAAAATATCGAATGAATATCAAATCGGATATAACAAATATTTCGGACATTCACCGACCAAGTCGACATTTATCTTGATTACGATCATTCAACTATACGCGATTGCTGGAAAGAATTTCAAAGAAATACTTCTCAACAGAGTATCACCAGTTATTCTACTTTATTAGATTGAGAAAAAGCAGCTCATCCTATTTTAATACATTTCAGAAAACGGAACCATCTTATTGACAAACAATGTTGTATTATACACCAGAAGAGGAAGCCATACCACGGGAGAAACTTTTCGTCGTCAATTCTCTTTTCACCAACATAACTCATTTAAAGTGTAGCGAAAAGTGAGTTCAGACGAATCAAGCCATGGAAGTTTCAAAGACTGAAAAGAAAAATTTAAAATATACAAATGAAAATAAATGATGAGATGATAATTTGGAATGAAGCAACTGAGAAGTTCTCTTCGCATCATTTGTTTGCATTTTGAAATATATTTTTTTCAGCAATTGAAACTTCGTGACTTGCTTCAAGTTTGCTTCAACTAACTCTTTTTCTTCCTTTTAAATAAGTAATATAATAAGAATTAGCGACGAACATTTTCTCCCGAGGTATGGCGTCCTTTTAACGTTGCTTCATGTTTTTTTTTTCTGAATTTAAATTCTATTTCAAGGACACTAAAAATGTGCTTTTTTTTTTAACCTGAAGGGACTACTAAAATAAAACTACATTCAAATTATGATGAAATATTTTTCCTCCCAGAAAATAACGTGTTTAAATTTCGAATCAGTAGCAGCTACGTACTCTTATAACTGATGATAAATAAATAAATTTTTGAAATATTTTTAAATTATGATTAATTTTGTTTAACCCGAAAAATAATTCGGTTTTTCGATTCTTTCTTTGTCTTCCGTGCTCGTGTGACGTCAGATTCTCTTTCTATTTGGCACCAAATTACTTGCCGATTGCCAAATTATTTGTTGTTCAATTCGTGGGATAAGAAAAATATTAAATCTTCGTCTTAGCTGCGAATTCATTTATTTCACTTTTTTTTTAGGTTCATTTTTAATTGTCTAGAATAAAAGTAAAGCAATAGCCATGAAGGACAGGGGATTCGTGAAGTTTAAAGCACATCCATTTCGCGACCAACGGCCATAGTGGGGCAATGTGGTCAGCATTAAACACATGCCGCCTTTACTTCCCAGACAAGTACCTGATCTGAAGGGCTGCCGTCACCCCAGTTTCTAACCAATAGTTTAGTGCCTTTCTCACAGCTCTGTTACTAGAATAGTTATGTATGAAATCGTTAAATGAGGAATATATTGGGGGTATAACTATATGGAGGTTAGTCAAAAAATACTTTTTTCATGGAACCAGATGTACAGAGAGCCAAAAAATTCTGACCACCCGGAATAACTTTTGATCCCAACTATTTCACGTTCTAGGACTCCATCTTAAAGGATCGACTTGGTGACCTCAAACGTGCTAATTAATAAGTGCTGATCAGACACAAAAGGCACTTTCTTTGAACAAACATACACATTTTTCGATGGATTCGAACCCCCAAAAATTGGAGGTAGTCGCAATCTGGGAAATAGGGTTCCAATAGTTTGGCCCCCTTCATGTTAATTTTACTTTTTGCGTATTTCGCTATATCTCGAAAAAATTTTTTAAGTGAATTGAAATTTTTTTACACACAATTACGAAATTCGTTGATCCAAAGATAATTCTATGCAAAAAACAAAAAAAAATAACTTTTAGTAGATTTTTATTATTATATTTGAGAATGGTTCAAAAAATTTTGACTTGTAAGGTACACAATTTTTCGCATGATTTTATAACCGTCGTTGAACAGCCGACACAATTTTATGGGTTTACGACTACTAAAGTTCAACTCCGTTGCCTTGTCATTTCGAACCCATTCCAGAAGAAAAGAGAACTTCTGGATCGAGTATTGGGAGAAATTTGTCTTCGTGGAGGACTTTTTGATGGAACTAACCCACATTTGCGTTACATGAAGAGGAAGACCACGAGAACCTCTCACGGTTGGCCTGACGGCAAGGGGACTCTATCCCATGATCCGTCTACCACTGTGGATATTTCAGTTCAGCACTGTGTTTGGTGCAAGCCGGAAGCGGAATTCGTATCTACTGGGATTCGAACCCGGTTCGCCTCATTGGACGCTCTATCCCCTGAGCCATCGCGGCTCTTCATTTTAAAGATTGTAATTTTACATTACAAGGTACAAAATCGATCGATTCATTTCTGAAAAATCGAATTTTAAGTATCTGACCTCTTTTGAAAGGACTGCTCACTTGACCAAACTATTGAACCCTATTTCGCAGATTGCTTCTGCCCCCTGTATGCAGAAGGTCAGAAATTCGAATCCCTTCAAAAATATGGTGTGTTTATTCAGAGAAAGTACGTTTTTGTGCCTGACTTCGTAGCTAAATATCGCCGTTAATGAGCATATTTGAGGTCACTAAGATTGAGTCCTAGAACGCGGAATTCCGATCATTAGATCAAAAGTTATTTAAAGTGGTACGGTTAGCAATGTACAAAATATAATTAAGTAGAGTGAATACTTGCTTCGCATGTGATGACTGGTGGTACATGCATCCTCCCAATGTGAATCTCCTCTTCCAATAGACGAGGCGTCACTTCGACATATGAATTCCGTCGTGAATTTGATCTCGATGAATCTGTCCGATTGTATTCTTTTATGGGAGTCGCTTCATAGGCCGAGTGACCGGAAGATACCTGAAATGAATACTTCTAAACTCTGTCTGCATCGAATGTAAAAATACGTCTGTGAAATAAATCTAAGGGACGTTCCCACTGCATGTGATTCACGCAACTTCGATCGCTTGTTGAGTAAGGATGAGTTTTTCGCTGAATTTATTCCGCACAGATTGTGACGAACAGAGATGTCATAAAAATAATCACAGGTGCGACTTTTAAATTGTCCCAATGAGGTCATAATATGACTTTGGCGTTTCTTTATTCTGTGATATCACATAAAAGTTTCACTGACTATTTATTGTAACTTTTGTCAGTCACACTAAATCACTGAAATTCCTTTGTTGCCAATTAGTTGCAACTTTGAAATCCCTTGAAAGTTGCAGGAGAACCATTTCACGCCTAAAGTGACAAAGGGGTATTTTTGCGACTTGTCTCACTAACGTCAGACCAGTGTCTTGAAATCCTTGTAAGCAGATCTCTTAAAATTAAATATGTGAGTCACGAATGGTAAAACAACAATTACATTGACGTTTAATGCTTTGATGACAGTGAATACTAACTTTAATAGTAATTTAGGGAATGCATTGTTTTGAAGTGCATTTTAAAAATAGAAGTGCTAACTTTTCTTATTGCTTTATAAGAAGGAAACGTTTTTCTGTATTGATCCCAGAAATATATCTCCCATTTAAACATATAATATTGCGCTGCAGAAAAATGCATTTTTCCTAAAAACAAATTCTGTTGTAATAGCGCGGAATCATTTTTAACTCCTTATAAAACATTGTATCTTTAATATTAGGAATTTGACGATGACATGGCGATGTGTCGCGGATTCATATCGAGATTTTACTCTGTATGTTTCCATATGATTTCATTATTTATCTTACAGCGAGCTCAATTTAAACTCTTAAATCATTGAGATTGCATCGTAGTGAATAAAAAGCCGATGTTTAGATCAAAAAATATTTTATTTTACAGCCGACCCAATTCAGGGTTCACGACTACTCCTGTTCAACTTTGCAGCCTTGTCATTTTGAACCCAATCCAGAAGACAAGAGAACTCCTGGATTAAGTAGTGGACGAAATTTGCCTTCGTGGAGGATGTTTTGATGGAACTTTTCCCGCATTTGCGTTCCGTGGAGAGGAAGACCCTCCCACGGTTTGCCTGACGGCAAAGGGACTCTAACCCATGATCCGTCTAACACTGAAAATATTTTACGTTAACACTGTGGTCGGTGCGGACCATATGCGGTATTTGTATCGACAAGCCATTGCTGGATTCGAACCCGGTTCTACTGATTGGAAGGCGAACACTCGATCGCCATAAGATACCCCGAATCATCAAAAAATATTAATAATATTTTGTTTCAAAAAGTTATTGTCTGAAACTTTTACTGGTATCATATATCCTAAAAAAGCCACAGTTTTTACGCCCAAAAATAAAAGATGCATTTAGAAGGGATGCATTCTTTTGAAGTGTGCTGCGAACAGAGTCTTTTGAAAGGTCACTTTCCCGGTGGTCGCCTACACTTGACCTAACAAATGTAAAAGTGAAATAATCTTTTTTTTTGTAATAATAATACAGAAAAGGAATGTCTTCCCTGCGTATTGAATTTTTCACGTCAATTATCGAATATCCCTCAAAATGCAATTGATTTTTTTAAGAGAGCTATAAACATACAATTTTTGTATTTTTACTGTATTATCATTTAGAGTCAGAGAGTCAGTCGTTGTTAAATAATAAAAATGGAGAAATAATTATAATCACCCTGCTCTGTCTTCTCTCTTGTTTTCTTCTGAGTGCAAGAAGCCGAATATCTGTCTCACCATCACTCATTCTCTTCTCCTTCTATAAAAACGAGACACTTCTTTACAATCCCTGTACTATATTAAATCGGGTCGCTCATTATATTTATATCTAATCTATAATTCATTTAATCTTATGAAATTATTTCAAATAAAATGCCACATTTTAAAAGAAAATATACTATTTCTAATAACAGCATATTAAAAAATAAATGATGAAAAAGAGTCATAAAATATTAAATAAATTTTGGAAACATTTATGAAATATTGCATATTATTATAATATCCTATCGCGCTTTTCACATCAAAATAAAATCCTTTACCAACAAAGTACGATTTTCTAATAACTATTTTCAACAGTATTTTTTCATTTAGAAGTAAACCGTCTTATTTCATACATTTACAACAAAAAACAAATTCATAACTAGAGTAGATATAACACTACAAAATGAACTGCCTATTATCGTTTACCTGCCTATTACTTCACATTCCGAATAACATCCTTTTATCATCAAAATGATCAAACGATGAATAAATCTTCTAATTAACTATATAGTCTTATAAAGTTCACCTTAATAAACTTTATGGATTAAGTCCGTCGAAAGAAGGTTGATTAGTTAGGGGCCGACCAGACTGATTGGGAATGTCATCCGCAATAATCATTCATTGCTCAATTAGCCTGCTGATTTATTTTAAGCCTACAGTGGGAAAGGATTCTTGCAAAAACTGACTCATTAAAAAGCGTTCTATTCGAAATGGGGCAATGAGCCTAAGTAAATTCAAGCTGATTGAACAATGTTTCTTACATTAAGGTTTGTTTGAATAAAGGTTTGTTGGGCCTGAGAGTAATTTCGTTCCCCGTGAGTACAAAATGTCGTTAAAGTGCTATTTACCGGCATTAAGACGACGTTTTATTTTAAACGAATATTATCAGTTTTTTTTTTTTTTTTACTAGCATCTAGTTCTAACCTGCTAAGCTATCGAAATGTTGATTAATATAACCCATTTTTATAAACTTTCTTTAATTTTTATAAAATTCAGTAATTTTATTTAAAAATTTTTTTACGTATTTTTCAAAATGCTTATGTATTAATTTTTCTTAAATTCTAAATAAAAAAAATTTAAAAAACAAGGATTTAATTTTTTTTTTTAAATTTAAATATTCAAGCAAAATTTAAAAACATTTATTTTCCAAATGAGTATAAATAATTTCGAATACTGATAAATTAAAAAATAAAAAAAATTATTCTTTATAAATATTAAATAGGATGTATCATAAAATTCAAAATGTCTGAAAATATTATTCACTTTTTTATTTCTAAGAAATTCAATTTGTTTATGCCTATTACTTAATTTTTGGAAATAAAGTTTTAAGATATAACGATTTATACTTTACTTCTTTTTATTTGAATTATTCACACACTTTTATGATAGTATTTTATTTTATTTTATTTTATAACTGTTGTTGAACACCCGATCCAATTTTTGGGTTTACGACTGTTACTGCTCAACTCCCTATCCTTGTCATTTTGAACCCAATCCAGAATACAAGGGAACTACTCGATCAAGTATATTGGGAGACATTTGCCTTCTTGGAGGACTTTTTGATAGCACTAACCTGCATTTTGCGTTACATGGAGAGGAAGACCACGAAAAAACCCTCCCAAGGTGTGCCTGACGGAAAGGGTACTCTAACCCGTGATCCGTCTATCACTGAGTATATTTCACATCAGCACTGTGGTCTATGTAAGCCGGAATTTGCATTGACCAGCCATCGCTGGGTTTCGAACCCGGGTCACCTCTCTGGATGGCGAACGCTCTATCCCCTGAGCCATTGCTGCTCTTATGATAGTATTTTACTTTATTTTATAGCCTGTTAAACAGCCGACCTAATTTTTGGGTTTATGACTACCAATGTTCAACTCCGTAGCCTTGTCATTTTGAACCCAATCTCGAAGACAAGGGAACTCCTGGATCAAGTACGGGGAGAAAATTGCTTTCGTGGAGGTCTTTTTCATGGAAGTAACCCGCATTTGCGTTACATGGGGAGGAAGAACACAAGAACCTCCCACGGTTAGCCTGACGGCAAGGGGACTCTAACCCACGATCTCTCTACCACTGAAGATATTTCACGTCAACACTGTGGTCGATGCAAGCCGGATGCGGAATTCGTATCCCAGCTATATCCGTTATGTGAACCCGGTTCACCTCCTTGGAAGGCGAATGCTCTATCCCCTGAGCCATCACGACTCTTACGATATTATTTAAAACTTGGCATTCTTTTTCAAAGAATTCCAAAAACGTTTCACATTCTGATACTCCATTGTCAGCTCAAATTGTTTTCATGTTTCGCTGCATAATTTGTTCAAAATAACATTTAATAATAAAATATTAGAAAGTTTTATCTTTTACGAAATCAAAGATTTTTTTTAAAATAAATTATTATAATTTATTATAAAATTTAAATGGCGTGTTTATATTTTTATAACAATAAAATATTTGAAGATTAATATAAAATTAATATTTTTTTTTTAATATTTTACTTTTTATGTACTTTAAATTACTTTCACAATTGAATTTTTTTTTTAATTTATCTTTACCATTACGCAGTGTTTTTTTTTTTATTTATCTTTATTATGAAATTTCAACGACGTAAAATTAAAATTTTACCGTGCTTTTAATATAATACTTTATTTAAATAAATTTAGCTATTTTCTGCTTGAGTTACACACATAAATAAATATGGAAAAAGAGTCTCCTTTAAAGAGTGTCTCGACCTGCTTTCATTCATTAAATGAAGGAAGGGGACAGAGCGAACGAGGTGAACCGCGGGTTCGAATCCCAGAAATGGCTAGAACATACAAATACCGAACCGAGCTCGAGCCGAACCAAAAACCGAACCGTTAGAGTCCCCTTGCCTTCAGGCTAGCCGTGAGAGGTTATCCTCTCCATGTAATGCAAATGCGAGTGAATTCCATCAGAAAGCTCTCCACGAAGGCAAATTTCTCCCAATACTTGATCCAGGAGTTCCCTTGTCTCCTGGATTAGGTTCAAAATGACAAGGCTGCTGAGTTGAATAGGAGTAGTCGTCAGTCCAAAAAATGGGGTCGGCTGTTCAGCTACTATTCAACTGTATTTGACGGTTATAAAATAAATAAATGAGTAAAGGAATTAATAAAATATTTATAGAGAAAAAAATATATTTATAGTATATAGTAGGGCATAAAATTTTCAGTTCTTAAAGCCGGACTGAAAGTTTTACTCGCAAAAATTCGTAAGGAAAAAAAAAAGATCAGTTTTTTAAATCTTAATAGATGTAGTCATGAAGAACTTCTTGGCGAATAAAACTATAAAAGAAGGAAGAAAATGAAAAATCGAAGCCTATTTAATAATAACATACGAGCAATATTGAAGTATTCATTTGAAATAAGGTTGTCCGTAAATGTTTTTTTTCCAATGCCTAACTGGAGAATAACCTTTCGTCATCTAAAGGGCAGATTTGATGGCCATTCTTTCTGGGGCACCCTATTAGCAATATTAAGTGGGTCAACGTTGCTCCCACAGTGAGTACAGAGATGGAAAGAACATACATGCCTTGCCCGGGATTCGAACCCTGAACCTTTCTAATGCAAGGCCAGTTCCCCGACCCCTACACAGGCCGGTTGGCTTGCCCGTTAATGTGCGCGGCATTTTTTGTTCTAAATAGAAAATACGTCAGCTTGATATCAAAACACTTCCACGCGCCGTTTTGCTGTGACAGGTAATCGAAATGCACCTTGGTGTCTTCCATCTTCGTATATATATATATATATATATAACC